GGTGGGGGAGCAGGGGTGGCCTCGGGGGCCGAGGCGACGGGGAGTCGGGGTGGGATCGGGGCCGTAGAGGGGACAGGGGCGTCGGCGTCGGCTGGGGTCTCCTTCTTCTCGATCTTAGGCGGCAGATCCGTGGTGGAGTGGCGGCCGTCGGTGCAGGGAGGGATCGACAAGAACTCCTCAAAGGTCAAGACGCGTGGCTTGCAGCATTTCCACCCTGCCAGTTTGGTGCGAGGTTAGCTCCTGGGAAAAATGACTGATCCCGCTAAAGCAATTCGCCCCGCAAACCTGCCTTTTTGGCCCTCGTGAAAGACGGGCGGCCCGGGGTGGTACACGCAACCATCCTCCTCGCCCTCGTTGTAGGACTTGCCGCAGCTCTGGTGAACACACGTTTGCGCCATGGTGGTGGCGAGAATCAATCGAGACGGCTGGTGACAAAAAAAAAAAAAAAAAAGTAGCTTATGCCCCGCCTGTTCGTCGGCTTTCTGGCAGGTATGGGGGCGTGCCTCTTTTCTTGTGCAATTGCCGGGCGTCGACTCGACAGACAGCAAGCGCAGGCCGAGGTGTCGATTGAGTAGCAGCGGGAGACTTGTGAGGCTGCGAGGCTGGATGCTGGCACTGGTTCCGTCCCCCTGCAAAATATGTAGTCGGCCAGATACTCAAGGCATGTCGTTGATTCAAGCTGCCGCCGGGGTCTGGAGGTTCTGAGAGCTTCCAGAATCGCGTGGATCAGGAGGGGCAACACTCAACCCGCGGACCCCACCCACATTACGTCGGTTTTGTTGCCGTCAGTGGTGCCGACGGGAGCCCGACTATAGGTAGTACGTACCGCCGAAACCAGAGGCCCGGGTCCACAGCGACTCCCCCTACCCGACCCACTTGAGCGTTGGGGATTGCTCGACTTGGGAATGCCTTCAAGCCGCCGCCGTCGCCAGTGACAGATACAAGAACAAAGAAGAAGAAGAAAAAAGAAATGCGCGCCTCTTCACACCTTCTCCAGCAGGCCTGCCGCATCACCCTCTTCACCCGAGAGAACTGCGGCCTCTGTACCAGGGCCAAGTCGGCCCTATCCGCCGTCTGGGACTCGCGCCCCTTCGAATACCGTGAGGTCGACATCGTCAAGCCCGAGGCCCGGCGCTGGCGGGATCTGTACGACTTTGACGTCCCTGTGGTTAGCCTCCGCGACCCCTAAATTTCCGAGATTCGCTCCTCCCCCCGTGTCGTCGTCTCCAACCCATGTCTTGACCGCGTGTGCTGACCAGGCGCCTCTTGCCTTCTTCTCCGCCGCTTGCAGGCGCACATCAGCAAAACAGGGGCCCCAGAGGAGGACCCCAAGCTCGCCTCGGCCGCCGTAAAGCTGATGCACCGCTTCACCCCCGAGGACGTCAAGGCCAAGATGGACGCCGTCGAGGCCACACCACTGAAGCCCTAGCCCCGTTCTTTCTTTTGTCCGTGTCTGCGGAGAATATCTAGGTACCTCCTGCACTGTCCACGTAGCCACAAAGGTAGCTTTCCTCCGTGGAGGGGGCTGGGGGGCCCTTATAAGGTTCGTCAGACCTTTCTGTTTTCAATCCCGGGATAGTGGGTGATTGGGCCCCGGGTTCGAAGCTGGGAGGGTCCGCAGACCCTATCCCAGGCTTGGATCCGGGGCTTCCTTGACATTCCTTTTTTTTTCGCTATTTCTTTTCGTTCTCTTTCTTGTCTTATTGTCCTTATTTTCATTTTTAATGTCTGTATATACATACATGCCCAGCCCTGGCTAAATGTATACAAGTCCATCATTCCCGCCTATCGAGACTCCCATCCCTAGTACCGACCGCTCCTGTCCGGCTTGGCCTCCCCCTTGGCCACGGCCACCGACTCGGCCATGGCGGCCTGCAGGCCCGTGATGTCGGTGGCCACGCTGAGCATGCGGAACCCCTGCTCGGCGTATCTCCGCGCCTGCTCGCCGCCGGTGCAAAAGATGCCCGACCGCGTCGTGCCCGTGCGCTCGGCCGCGAGCCGCACCCGATCGATGGCCGCGTCCAGCTCCGGGTCCATCTTGCCGTCGATTACGGGGTGCCCGATGTTGTTGCCGAGGTCGAAGGGCCCGACGAAGAGCACGTCGACGAGCGGCGCGATCTCCTCGACCGCCTCGAGCGCCTCGCGCGTCTCGATCTGCACCACCGTCAGCAGGCTCGCGTTGGCCTGCTGCAGGTACTCGGTCATGGACAGCGGGTGGAAGTTCTGCATCGCGAAAGGGGACCCGAACCCCCGGGTGCCCTGGGGAGGGAACTTGGCCGACGACACGAGCTGCTCGACCTCCTTGACCGTCCTGATGAGCGGCACTAGTATCTGCAGAGATTCCCAGCCAAAATGCGCGCAATACAGCACGTTCCCGTCTTGCCGTCAGCCAATGCCCGTCCAACGGGATATCCTATCTGTCTGCCTGCATCCTTGCCCGTTCCGATATGCGGCTCCATGTTGCCCAACCATCACATTTACGGCATCTATGGAGTGACGTACCCCGTGCGCACCACTATCAAGAGCTCCTGCAACGCCGTGTCAGCCATCTTCCGGAACGGGAGGTGCAGAAAGGCCGGAAAGGTTTCGCATGAGCAGGCCGCCCTCTGTCCCCTGAATCCTTACGCTTGACCATCCACCCCTGAAAGTCGGGGACCCTGACGATGGGTGAGATCCCAGCCGCCGCGATAGCCGGCACGGCGTCGTGCATGGCCGCGTCGTCCATGGTGCCGTGCTCGCAGTCGACGACGATAAAGTCGACCCCGGGCGTCCGGGCCAGCGCCCTCGAGATGTTGGCCCCGGGCAGCATTTGCCAGAGGCCCATGCTCGGGCCCCGGCCCATGGCCTCCCTGAGCCGGTTGGCCTGCAGCATCTTGGTCGACATGGCGGCGGCCCGTCCGCCCGGCTGGCGCTGTAGGGCTAGGGCTGGGGCGGCGGCGGTGGCGGCGGTTGCTGTCGAGACTCGGGGGCGGCAGGGTCCGGATGTGCTGATCCGGGCGGCGTGTCTGGCGGTCGAGAGCAGAGTGGCGGATGCGCGAGACATGTCGGTGCCCACCGGTGGTTTCCTGTGACGCGCAAACTTTTGAGGGGCTTCCCGTCCTATATGCCCTTGTTTCCTGGGAGGCCGGCCAGGGGGGGCTGATGGAGCAGCCAAGGGGGACCTTTCAGGCAAGACTTCCGCGACTGCGGGGTAAAGTGCCAGCTTAATTGCGATATCGGGCCGTTGTCTGCCATGTCGCCCTCTTTCGCGGTGGGGGTCACATCTGAGTTTGTCCACCACTGTCCGTGTTTTGAATCGCGGGCACAGCTCCATCATAGTGACAGTTTTATTCGAACCAGTGACCCGGTAGGTGGCTACGTTCCAGATCTTGCAAGACCAAAGGCATCTAGAGCAATTTGCAGCAAAGAAATCAACACAGCAAGCGAAACAATACCCTGAACAAGTTTGGTGTGAGTTCTATGCTGACTTCGGGATAGTTCAGCCTTTGAACTCTCAAACGCAACCGCAACAGTGGGTGACGTGATGTATTCCGTCAGCAAAGGTGGCAGTTGTAACGAGTAAAACAAAATCAACAACCAAAAAAAGATTGCGGAACGCCTGGACTGGAAATGGGGGACAGAAAAACAAATGGTATCGGTCAAAACCAAGTCGGCTTGCCCACATATTGGCTGAAAACATGCGCGCTGCATCATGTAGCTCGTGCCGTTGGAGGAAAAGGAAGGAGACAAAAGAACCAAAAAAGGCCGGCAAAGAATCCTGTTTCTTCAAACAGCAGTGCTGCCAGTCATGCACTATCGCGTTTTGCCCACCTGCGATCTCGGGGGACGTGTCAGTCTTGAAGCGACAACAGGAAGCAGCATCAAGCCACAATGCTGCGGCCCATGGAGCTCCAGCGGAATCTCCTGAGCGTGCCGCCGCCGCTGGATTGGCCGATTATATCGCGGCCGCAAGACCCAGTCGCATTGGCTGGAGGGCCGGAAGGGGCGCCGCCTGTGCTTGATATGAAGCCAGCTGCCCCCTCCTGCCGCCCCACCTCACGCCCGATGACGTACCCGGCCCCAAAGCCAACAACCGACACGAGCACCACAACGCCAGCGCTAACAACCCATGTCAGCAGCGTCGGGCTGATTAGTGTTTCGGGCGTTGTCGATGCCGACGTCTCCACCCGCTTCTTCTTGGTCGCCCGGCCCGAAGTCTTCTGCCCGGAACCGGCTGCGGCTCGCTTGCTCTTCTCGCCCCGCGCTGCCGACGATGTCGTGGACGGCGACCGCGTAAACCCGCCCGCATGTGTCTTTTTGTTGGCGGCAGTGGTAGCAGGTGCGACGGTCGCTGCTGGACTCGAGCCCTTCATTTTTGCTCTAGCACTAGCCGATGACTGTGAAGGCGGTGGTGCCGAGGTTCCGGCCATTAGTTCCGCCTCGGGCACCAACCGGATATCCATGGGCTGCATGCCCGCAGTGTTGGAGGTTGGCCCGGCTCCGAGGGCGTCGGGGCCCTCGCGCCTCCGGTTGGGGAGGCCGCGCGCCGCGGCAGCACAAGAGAGCAGCGTCGTGAGAGAGGCGCGCAAAGCCGCATCGTTGTCCTCGCGATACGCCGGTGATACGAACTGCGGGGCGTTGCGGCTTGAGCCGGCCCGTGAGTAAGATGACCTCCTACTCGTGGGGCCCGTGGCCCCCGCATGCGGCCCCGTCGAGGTACCGCCCATATAGGCACCCGGCGTGGAATGGTGGTGCGTGAGATGGCTCGGCGGGTGAGAGAAGGCGTTGGGCTGAGGCCTGAAGACGTGCGGAGCCCCTGACGGAAGCCCTAGTGCGGTGGCGTTCTCGTCGCCCGAGTCGTCGTCGTCGTCATCGTAGCCCGACGACTCGTGACGGGCAGTAGTTTCATGGCGCGAGCCTGTGTGTATATGGGTCGGGGGTGCCATCGGGCCGCCGACCGGGCGTCGCACAACAGGGGCGCCGTCTTCCTCGCTCTCCGTATCATCGTAGTCCTCCTGGCTGCTCGTACCCCCACGCGCGGCAGCATGGCTGATGACGAACGACCGCGGCATGCTATGCTGATGGTTTGGTGGCTGGCGTCCTGCATGTCTCCGGCGCGGGGGGTATGAGGAGCCGTGGACCCTCAGGCCGGTGGTGATGATCTCGTCGCCGCCGATGGAGGAAAGTGATGACGATGACGGTTGAGATGCGATCTCGATCCAGTCTGCGTCTGGCGTTAGCGGCTAGTCCCAACGGCAGTAGATGATGAGGGGATTGAGACTGACCTTCTTGTCGTCGGCGCGACGGCGACTCAGCGGCACTATTGCGACCCGAGGCGCCATTCGCCATGGTGGCCGTTGCGCCGGGCGGGCCGCCCCGGAACTGCTGCTGGTCCATGTCCGCAGGTGGCACGAGAGGGCCGACAGGAACGATCAGTGTGGGGAAAGCCGTCGCGGGTGAGACGAGAGGCTAGGTAGCTTGACGTTCCTCGAGTATCTACGGCAGCCCAGGGGTATCTCAAAAAGGAACAAAGGGCGGCGGGGAAACAACGTGGTTGAAGCCAGTTCGCGATGCGATCGATGCGCCGGGACCCAGGGTCACTGCTTTATCCGTAGATCGAGTCTGAGTGATGAAGGCAGCGCTGACACGTGTGCATGGATGTGAGCTGCAGGTGGGTGAGCGCTTGTGTGCCGCTGTCGCTTCTGCTGCTGCTGCTGCGGTGTGCTCGGGCCTCGCGAGCGCACGACCACTAGAGGGACGTTGAGCGAATGCGCCCGTTGGTTGGGGATGCCTGCAAAGGCGTGCTTAGTTGAGGAAAGGCTTCAGCGCGAAAGGGGCTGATGCAAGAAAACAGGCAGAGCGCTAGCGAGCGACAGCATGGGTTTGGATTTGTGGATGACGACGATACTTGGTCTGGAGGGCAGCAACAAGGCAACGTGGTGGTCTAGCATGGCTGAGGGAGGCTAGGCGTTTTGGCTGCGGCGAAAGGCGCACCCTTCCATTGTCGAGTTGCACCCAGAGCCCAGAGTCCAGAGCAAGCAGGCCAGAGATGGGGGAGGGGCAATGGGCTGGCTGGAATGGGCAGTCACCGCAGTCCAGGCTTTGGGGGCGGGCCAGGTGGCCGGGGCTACAGTGGTGGACCCTCCACGTGCGGCCAGGCAGGTATCACGTCTACGCCTGGGCGTATTGTGCATGAAGAATGAGGGAATCTATCTGCCAGACTGGGCGTATTGTGCATGAAGAATGAGGGAATCTATCTGCCAGAGAGGGAACAGGAGACAGCTATTTATACACAATCCGATCGCCAAAGGCCTGTTCCTCGCCCCTACCTTATGTGTCCCCCAGATCCCTGGATCCGTTGGATCCCGTGATCTCGAGCGCACGCGCTAGTCATGTGATTTCAACAATGGAAGACCATTAGGCACGCCGAAGGGGGCCACAGGAATATGGAAGCGTCTGGCCCTTTTTATCGCCCTCATTTGGCTAGGATGCAATGGCCATCGTCCGTGACCCCGGAGCACTCATTGCAAACGACGCGTAGAGTCGGGACGTCCAAGCCGCAGTTTTCATCGTTGAAAGCCTCGTGAAGGGGAGCACGCCGGGTATCAGTGCACTACAAAGAAAAAGTGGAGGGGAAAAAATTCCTGGTTAGTAACATAAACAATACACCCGTCGTAAAAAGGTAGAGGGAAGGATTGCGTTTTTGCAACTTACCCAAAACCCCCCGGGACCTCTTGGACCGCGCAGCGAACCAGAGGCATAGTAGCATAGAGTCGTACTGTATTGGTGCGGGTAGTCGGTCCCTGGGGCGATGCAGGCGCACCACGTCTCCGGGGGATCCCACGGCGCCGGGGAACCTTGGCGAGCAAGATTGCTATGGAAACCCCCGAAAGCCCAAAGGTTAGCTGGCCGAAGCGAAATAAAAAAGAAATAAAAATAAAAGATTGATGATTAGGATTGCTGAGGTGGGCTATATCTTACGCGGGAACAGCCACGGCCATAACGGTGGGAAGGAGGGCAATAATAAAGAACCTCATTTTGGCGGCGCAAACGCAAAGTTATAATGTATCCTAAGGGTTAAATTGCGAAGGTTGGTGGGTGGTGGAAAAGAAAAACAAACATTAGGTGAGAGGGAGCCAGATATTTATCTTCGTTTCCTGAACGGCGAGCTACGTCCAACAAACCAAGGAAAAAGGAGGGGAAACCGCAAACGCCTTTGGCGACATATCGGTAGGTCGACGACGTTGCTCTAAGGTACAGCAATGCAACCTCCCCCGCAAAGAACAGACCACCTTGGGCGGGACCGCATATGTAGCGCCATGGTTCCTGACACTAGGCTCCATTGATTCGACTGTCGCTCCCTGTAAATGCGCCATTCCTAGGTCTGTAGTCGCCATCCATTTACCGTGCCCCGTGCTATGTAGGTCGAAGCCCACAGCGATAACCCCATCCCGGGGTCTTGTTTTATACCAAGGATCTATCGGCCAACGCGCCAACAGGATTCCCGGTGAGACAAGCCACACGTCCATGTGGAACCTCCGAGTCCTGCGCACTTGATGGGCGTGATGACACGGAAACCGGGCGCGCTTGGGGTAGCCTGGACCTCGGGTTGCACAGGTGATTCGACGTCGGATACGGCGCGTGAGACACACTTTTGAGCGTGAGCCTAAGCGGGACCAGACCGTGGCTGTATGATGGATGGCTCGCGCAGCCTCCACGCGCCTTTGCATTGCTCAGCTTTTGGATCGACAGATGGCCTGGGGGTGTCACACGGGAGGGTTACGTGCCCAGCACCGACAAGGTACCCTGGAATGGAACACAGAGCTCCTGTCTGCATCTCCCCCAGACCACAGCTCGACCTATCTCATCGTCGTCGCGTAGGAAAAGAAAGACCAAAAGAAAGCGAATGGAAAGGGACAAAAATATCAATCCAATAGAGAAGGAATAGAAATCATCAAGCCCAGCTGTAAATACGCCCATGATTGAGGGTTCGAACGTACATTAGCCTCCAACACTTCCGCGCCCCACACCTTGACTTGGTGGTACACATAGGTGAGTACCTGGCCACGCGCCTGGGATGCTTGTGGGAAGGGCAATATCACATCCTGTCCGGTGTCAAATACATACCTGTAATGGAGTGAAATCACGGCGGGAACAAGACGATTTTGATCTTATAAATTACAGCCCCCGGGAACGCCAAGGTCAAGCTATGGAAATCGTCGTAACTACTAGGCAGGCCGGTTACTTACCCGAGATCAGAACTTTTGGTGGTATCAATCAGCCCAAGCGGCAAATCAGAGAAGAACGCCTCCCACTGGCAACACAAGCCCATAAGAGACTCTTATCAGACACAGGAGCACTTGGCTATACTCCTCGTGGCCTCCTTTGCACCCAAGGAAGTCAGTATATATCACAGAGCGCCCCGCTATTCAAGGATGCACTTGAGAGCCCTCGGAACCCCACAAGCCGTCATGACCGTTGAGTCTTGGTCCACGCTCAAATATCCGTCGTCACACCCCTCGTTGAAGAGACAGTGACCTGGACACAGGAGGCTTCATCCAAAAACTCGCCGGTCAGAAAGAGCCCACAGCGACAAGAGAAACCCATCATCCAGACCTCGAAGCGGCGGACCGCATACGAGAAGAGCATTCAAAGAGCCAAGAAATGCGACGAGGCCGAAGCCAAGTCACATGCCCACAGGTAGGATCATAGCCCCCAGGTGTCTGGCACATATACGCGTGACTCTTCACGAATCAACGCGATGTGCCTCCAAAGCTGCCTATCTCTCCCCAAAGGATCGAGACGGGTGCATTTGAAAACCGACAGCCAAACGAAGCCCACACGAGGCGAGCCGAGAGCCCTCTGTGCAATTGTGTGCGGCGACCACGTTTAGAACGTGGTCTTCTTTCCCTGGAAGCCACCACCGCCGCGGCCACCGAATCCACCACGACCGCCTCCACCACGGCCACCGCCGCCGCGGCCACCACCACGACCACCGAAGCCACCGCGGCCACCACCGCGGCCGCCACCACGTCCGCCGAAGCCGCCGCCGCCGCCGCCGCCGCCGAAACCGCCGCCCTCACGAGGAGGCTTGGGCGTCGAGTAGTCAAGACGGCAAGGACGGCCGTTGATTGACTGGCCAGAGAGCTGGGTGAAGGCCGACTTGGCGTCCTCGACCGAGTTGAAGCTGACGTAACCGAATCCCTTGCGACGTCCAGACTCCCTGCGAAACTATTAGGCCACCGAGACTAGACTGCGACTAACCCACGCATGGGCCAGTCAGATGGAGGCGCAATGTACAGGGTTGGAGAACTTACTGGTCAGTAGGGAGCCTCAGACTCTTTATCTCGGCGACGCTGCCGAAGAACTCGCTGACGACGTCCTCGTCGGCGTCGAAAGGAAGGTTGCCGACGAAGAGAGTGTCGCTCTCGGGGCTAGTGACATCGCCAAACTTCTTGGCGCGATCTGCCGAGTCGTTGTTGTTTGACTTGCCGGTCGAGAAGTCGACCTTGATCTGGCGACCATCAATGAAGGCACCCTGCTTCTCGGCATGGGCCTTCTCGGCGTCTGCGGGGCTGGCAAAGTCGACGTAGCCAAAGCCCTTGGACCGGCCGGTCTCACGATCCGTGATGACCCGGGCGCTGACAACCTCACCGCAGAACTTGAACTCCTCCTTGAGCATGTCATCGTCAACGTTCCAGCTGAGGCTGCCCACGAACAGAGTGGCGGGCTTGTCCGACTCAGCCGCGTCCGTCTTGGACTTCTTGGTCGGGGCCTCCTTGGGCTCGTCAGCCTTGCGCTTCTTGGAGGGCGCCTCGGCCTTGGTCTCCTTCTCATCAGAGTCAGAATCGTCGGAGTCGTCAGAGTCCTCCTCGGACGAGTCGTTGGAATCAGAAGAGTCAGCAGACTAGAGCCGTAGGAAATGAAGGATGTTAGCATAGCCATATTTAGGGCGAGTGATGTAGGAGACGGAGTGCTCGGGGTGTCCTTACGCTCTCAGCGGCAGCCTTCTCGGTCTTCTTGGCGACAGCAGGCTTTGCCTTGGCCTCCTCCTTCGACGCGGAGGAGTCGCTCTCATCATCAGAGTCGTTCTCGGAAGAATCGGACGAGTCCGAATCGGAGCCATCAGCCATCTTGACGTCGCCGTTGGTAGCGGCCTTTGCGGCCGGGGCAGGCTTGTCATCTGAGTCGCTATCGGAGTCGCTGTCCGAGTCCGAGTCCGACGACTCGGCGGCGGCCTTGGCCTTTCCGTTCACCTTGCCATTGGGCTTGGCAGTGGCCTTGGCAGTGGCCTTGGTAGGCTTCTTCTCGGCCTCAGACTCAGACTCGGAAGAGTCCGACGAGGCGGACGAGTCGGAGTCGCTCCCGGAGTCGGAAACCTCGACCTTCTTCTTCTTGGAGTCCTTCTTGGAGTCCTTCTTGGAAACCTTGGTAGCAACCTCCTTGGCCGTCTTCTTTGACTTCGCGACGGGGGTCTGCGACGCCTTGGTCACGCCCGCATTCTTGACAGCGAGGGGCTTCGCAGCCGCCTTGCTGCTCTTGGACTTTGACTCCTTGACCTTGCCCATTGTGACTGTGGTTCTGGTATGAGATGGAGGATAGGAAGGGACGTAGTATTGAAGGGTAGATGTAGAGGAAGGAGGTGTGGTGAACTCGAGAAAGAGGGAAGGATCTCGAGGACAAGCGCGATGAGGAATGGGCAAGAGCTTTATGCGCTGGCAGGAGACCCTGAAAAAAAAAATTGGAAAAAAAAAGTGGTTGGCGGCGCAAATATTCCAGCAGAAAATACTTTTTAGCGGGTCGAATCAAAGGCGGTGAATGCATAAGGGTGGAGCATGCCTCTGGCTTGAGACAACCTCCGCGGTGGGGTGCTCTCCCTTATCGTTATCGAGAACTTCAGCCTGGAGAAACAGGCACCAATCGACAGTGGAGCTCCGAATTGGATGGGCCAGCCTTGGAAGCATCACATTCACATCGAGACGCTGGCCCGAAATCGTTTGCCGGCGAGCGCTTGATAGTCGGCCCACGCGCAGCCGAACCTCCCGCCCCGCAGCTCCGGAACCAATTGATATCGACACGAAACCCGGAGTTCAGTCCTCCCCCTTCCTCCGTCAGCCGCAGCGACCTCTCCGAACCGAAGATGCCGACCCCCGAATCCGCCGCGTTCCTAGCCAAGAAGCCCACGGTCCCACCGACCTTTGACGGGGTCGACTACGATGATAACAAGGCGCTCAAGGCCGCGCAGGACGCCATCGTCAGGGAGCAGTGGGTTCAGGTCATGATGGGCCGGCTCGTCCGTGAGGAGCTGGGCAAGTGCTACTACCGGGAGGGCGTGAACCACCTGGAGAAGTGCGGGCACCTACGGGGTACGTCTGGAGGAGACAGGGGATGTGTTTCTTTATCGCCGCCATGGCTCTGTGTCTCTTGGGCCATGTCGGGCAGGCCGCTTGGTGGAGGCTTTGCTCTCATTATCCGTGTATGATCGAGGACGATTGAACTATATGCTGACGAATCCGGACAACCAGAACGATATCTGCAACTGCTCAAGACCGCAAGAGTAAAGGGCTATATTTTCGAGCAACAGAACTACATCCCGAAGTGAGAGGGGAGGAGCGCGTGAATCGAATGGGCCATGCGACACTTGGGAAGGGATTCCGAGACGTCGAAGGCTATACGTACAATGGCCTAACGTCAGCTGGGTGGTAATTACCTTAGCTGCTGGGAAATCAAAGCATGGTGCAGAGCTTGTCTATCGATTGCATTAAGCGCACGCTGTTAGCCTTTAGAAGCTTGGGATGACGAGCCTAGGTGCTTCTCAGGCGCAGCAGAGTGACATTGTGGTGCTGGTCCAGCGCTGTTGGGATTGTAAAACAGGACAGGTTGTGTCTTTGGTAGATCAATTGACGGCAAGTTATAATCAATTGCCAAATATCACCATTCATTTCCCAAGTTGTTCTAGGAACCAACACTTTGCCAGGCGCATTTGGTAGAGTCTTTGCGTGACTGGGGGGAACTTGACATCAGAATTCCTAGCAGTGGTCCTGAGCGCCCGCCCCAAAAAAAATTCGAGAGCTTCAGCTCCCCACTGCGACTAGCAGCAGCCCGTAGCCACCCACGCTCCAGAGAAGACACGTCCCGGACAAAAGGCGCCTTGTCTCTCCTCCCGCAACCCAGAGAACTCGGCCGTCGCCCACGATGATCTGCAGGTCGTGCCTCCGGCAGGTGTGGCGCCTGCCGCAGAGGCCGGCGCTGCTTCTGTCCCGCCCCTTCGCCACCACATTCCGCGCACGAAACGCCGCGCCGGCCGCCCCCGATGCGCCGTCACTAGCCGCCGCGACCGCCCCCGACGCAGGCGGCGACGGCGCTGCCGCCGACGCGCCCCTGTCGTCGTGCCCCAAGGGCACCATCATGACGGGCCTCAACTTCTACAAGAACAAGACGGACCCGGTTGCCATGGCGGACAAGGACTACCCAGAGTGGCTGTGGACGTGTCTCGAGGTCAAGCAAAAGGCTGCCGGCGACGGCGACGAGGCCGCCGGCGCCGATGAGTTCTGTGCGTTGCTTTGGCCCTTCTCTATCCCTCCCACCTGTCTCCATCATTCGCATCACTCCCCCCTCCCACTCCCCTCATCCTCATCTAGGTCGTGAACATGGTGGGGGGCTGAAGAGTGGTTGAGGTTGGATTGTGCGAAAGCATACCGATGAGAAAAAAAAAAAAGCTAATGCGCCGAAATTGGTCGCCCGCAACAGCAAAATCCAAAAAGCAACGGCGAGCAGCCGCCAAGCGCCAGAGGCTGCTGGAGGCCAAGATGCTGGCGTCGGGGGACCTGTCGGCACTGGCGCCCAAGATCCCCCTGCAGCAGCAGTCCATCAACCTCCCGGGCGGCGAGGACGGCAGCGTCGAGGGCGCCGTGCTCGCGGCAGAGAAGAGGGAGGAGCTACGGCAGGCGATGCGCAGAGAGCGCAAGGCCAAGATCAAGGAGTCCAACTACCTCAAGTCTATGTGAGCAAGCAAGCGGCTGCCGAAACGGCTGGTTGCGTGGCACAAAGACGATTGGCTCGCGCTGCGTCCTCGAGAGGCTTGCTCATTCAGAATTACATTGTATTATACAATTGTATCAACGAGCGCTTTCCCCCGTGCATGTATATGCTGTGACAACCCACTCGCCCGGTTGGGCACGAGGAGGCTCTCTTTTATGCCATCAGCCCACCTGCGTGCCCTAGAATGAAGGTGGTAATGCATGAGGTATTTGTGTGTCGAGTGTCGCAGCAGAGGAGGGCCAAGAATGGACATGGGGCTCCAAGGTCTCTCAGGCCTCGTCGTCATCCTCCTCATCCTGGTCCCCAGCCTTGCGCTTCATCAGATCAGCCAAGTGCTTCTTGGCGTTCTTGAGCTGAGTTTCCACACGAGTCCTGAGCAGACGGTTTGCTATCAGGGCGAGGTCTCCTTCTATCTTCTTGACTTGCCTCTCCGCCTCTGCTATTGCCTCGTTGGTATCATCCTGATCCGCAGCCTCTCCCTCGGCGTCCTCGTCGACGTCCTCACGATCGTCGTCATCATCGTCGTCGTCGTCATCATCGTCGTCTTCGCCGTCGTCCTCAGCCCCCGACTCGGCTTGGGCAGCGGGCGTGTTGGTCTCATCGCCGTTTGCTGATGGCATTGCTGGTGCGTCCTGGGTTGGACCATCTTCCTCGCCCAGCATGTCACCGGCCAGCACGTCCTCGAGCTCGTTGAGCAGATCTGCGTCTGGCTCTCCGTCATCCTCCCCGTCGTCGTCGAAGAGATCTCCGTGTGAGTCGCCATTGGCCTGGGCACCACCGTCCATCTCCTCGTCGTCCTCGCCCTCGGCATCCTGCTCGTCATCGGGATACTCGCCAATCTTCTCCTTGCCGTCGTGCCCGATATTAACGAGCTCATACCGCACGTCGGCAGCCTGGCGGTCGGCCTCCAGCAGCCGGTTGAGCTCGGCCTCCTTGTCCTTAACTTCTTTCTTGGTCAGGCGTTTCCGGAACCGGCGCTGGACGGCATCGTGCATGGGCGGGGTCAGGCCGTGCGGCCACCTGAAGTCGGTCTCGTTGGTGGGCGCGGGGAGCGGGACCGTCTTGGCTTCCTGCTCGTTGGCGACCTTGGCGAAGATGAGCAGCATCTGACAGATGTCTGCCGTCTTCATCAGGTTCTTCTTGTCCCACGTCTTCATGCTCTCGGTGATGGTAGGAAAATCGACCAGCACGGCGGCATAGAAATTGCTGCGGATGCGCACAAGGGCCCTCCGCTCGGCACTCAGCCACTTGATGGCGAATTCAGCAGGCGTCCTGCCCTCCTTGCCATGGCCGTTGGGGGGCAGGCCTATGCGATTCTGATCCACCATCTGCGCCAGGTAATCGAGGTCCTCCTCCACGCCCCCCTCATAGCGCAGGATGAACTGCTCCTCAATGACCGGGTCGGTCTCGCGGTCCTCCAGCTCCGAGTCGTATCCGTCTCCGGGCGGGTGGTGCGGTGCGTTGCCGGTCCTTCTGAACTTCAACTTGACGGCCGGGGACGGCGCGGCCGACTTGGTGAGCTTGATCCGCTTGATCGTCGAAGGAGTAGACGTTTCAACATCGCTAAGTGCGTCGTCCTTAGCCCGCTTTTTTGCGCTCGGCTTCATAACCCGACCAGACTTTGTCTTCATGTTTGACGGCGCAGAGGACGGCGGCGGCCGCGGTGGCCCGAAGATCGGAGGGCCAGCCTCGATCGCCGGGGTGGGTGGCCGCGAGCTTTTGAGCTTGACTCGGATCTTGGCACTTGCTGTCGGAGTCTCGGCCATGGCCGTCGGCGTGGATGCGGGCGCGGATGATGCGGGGGATCTCGTGATCGATGACAGCGCCTGCGAGCCTATTCGCAGTTTTAGTATTGGCCGGCTGGGAGCTGGTGATGCGCCATCTTTGCGCTCTGGGGTGTCCGTCATGGTGACGGGAGCTCAAACAGAGAGCCAGCGCGTCGTCGTAGGGATATGCCGTGGGTAGGAATTGTGAGTCGAACGCTTCTGCCGCTGGGTGGGGTTCGGGCGGTCAGACGCCCGCGTTTGCGCGGGTCGCGGAGCACAAGAAAATATCTTGGGATGGGAAACGGCTTCATCGAGCGCGGCGACCTTTGGGGTCGCGCGCTGTAATGAACGGACCTGGATGGCGCGGTCCAGATTGCCCCGTGGGTCCAACAGCCGCTTGTGGGGCATGCGCTAGTCCATATCTGGAATAGAACGGCAACCATGCATGCGCGCCTGCCCCACCCACCGCTTGTGCCTGCCCGCTTCCAGTCTGCAGAGCTGGTGCTCAATGCTCCTGCTGCCCCAGTGAAGTGAGTGGCATCACCCTCGGCTCGCTTCCACCCCCATCCACCATCCGACCATACAACTCCAGACTATGCGCGCACCAAGCTGCGCCACTATCGCCGAACCGTCGATGCGAGAACGCCCGCCCGTACTGTCTATCTCCTAGGCACGAATCTCCAGAATCCGAGACGGCACATTCTCAAGCGCAGAAGCAGGCGCCCGGCGAGCCGCAGAAACGAAATCTCGACAGGCAGAGGGATCACCCCCGTGGGGAGGAGAGAGATAGGGAAACGACCGACCATGACGCCGCCCGCGACCCTCTTCCACGCCCTCCTCCGGCCGAGCGTGCTGCAGATCCTGCGCGCCTCGGGCTACCAGATCACCAAGCCCGCCGTGCTCGACAGCCTCACGGACCTGGCGGCCCAGTACCTGCTCGTGCTCTGCCGCCAGACGGCCGCCCACGCCTCGGACAACGGCAGCGACCTGTGCCCGGGCCTCGTCGACGTGCGCATGGCCCTCGAGGACTGCGGCGCCCTCGGCCCGGACCTCCCCGGCGACGACCCCCAGGGCTCCCAGGACTTTGCCGACTGGTTCGCCGGCCCGCGCAACGCCGAGATACGCCGCGTCGCCCTCGACGGCGAGGATGAGGCCACGGACTGGCTAGTTGGTAGGTCTTTACTTTTTTTTCTGCTGGACCCTTTGATCGAGGTCTCTCCAACCTTCTCGCACGAATAAGCAGGGCGCTGATCAAGCACACCCACAACCCCCAGCTCTCAAGCAGAAACATAGCAAGACTGGAGAGGACTCCAAGTTCCAAGGGACGCTATTGGGCAAATGCAACGAACATGGCGAGGTCATAGTCGAGGGGGGCCATTTTGACACCATCCAGTCTTGGAGTGATCACATGAAGAAGAGCGGCGTCATGACCCCGCCGCCATCACCGCCGCAAGCAGAGGACCAGTCAGACGACGACGGCGATTCGAGGCCACCCAGCTCTGGGTTAAGCTCAATAGGAGAGAAGGAAATCCACGAGCTCGGGATGAGCATGAACAGTGGTCAGGCCGCCACTACTGGCGGCGGCGGCGGCGGCTCCTCTGCAATGGAGGTAGACACGAAATGATGCCGCTGAATACTGGTGACAAGAAAAAAAAGAGGAAGTAAATAGGTGAGCGACAGGCTTACTCGGATACTTACCAACATGGGTTATAAATTATACGGTTCATAGCGCCGGCGTCTGGGAAAAACTATACCATTTTGTCCTTGGCTACAGTGGCCAGGGGGGCATCACCAAACGATTCAGGTTGTCTGATTCACGTTACACGCCAACTTTTAAGCGTTTAATAAACTATTGATATCTCCTTTTGGACATATCACCTCGAATACTCGGTGGAGCGGTCGAGATTGAAGGCGGCGCTTATCAGGGCCAGGTGGCTGAAGGCCTGAGGCGTGTTTCCCAGCTGCTCGCCCGACCTCGCAATCTCCTCGCTGAACATGCAGAGGTGGTTACTGAAGCTGAGCATGTTCTCGAACAGGTTAATTGCCCGGACGAGATACTTGGGCTCGTAGACGCCGGCACGCGTCATGGCCTCGACCAGCCAGAAGGTGCACATGCTGAACGCGCCCTCGCGCCCACCAACGCCTGCCACAGCGGCTCGTGTTAGTCTTTTTATCTCTAGAAGCGGTTTGGGGGCCTTCCCCGGCGCGTTATCTCGCCACACTGGCCCGCGGCAGGCACGAAACAACGTCCGGTATAAACCAGGGAGGGCCCTGACCAGACTTACCGTCGTCGGACAGCTCGGTGTTGTAGCGATAGACGAGCCCAGTGCTCGTCAGGCCGCCTTTGTCGGGAGGGAGGAGGATGCGGTCCATGGTGTTCAGGAACCGCGGGTCTGACGGGGCGATGAAGAAGACCAGGGGCGCTATTAGGATGGACGAGTCTAGGGTGGTGTTGTTCTCGTAGCTCTGCACGAAGCACTTCATCTCCTTGTTGTAGCCTGGTTTGCGCAACGTCAGCTTCGGCCATGTCTCTCTCGTGCTTGGAGACGGGGGGGCTTTCGCGGCGGCGGTCGGTTCCAGCGAGCATGCAACATACCCTTCTCCATGATCTCCTCGTAGAGCATGTCACGGGCCTCGAGCCATTTGGCCCGGTTGGGGCAGGGGAGGTTCCTCTTCTCTGCCAGCCGGAGACCGCGATCGAAGGCGACCCAGAGCATCACCTTGGAATAAACAAAGTTTTGCTTGTTGTTGCGAACCTCCCAGATAGACATGTCGGGCTCTGTGTCGGCTATCAGTCAGCACTCTGTTCCCTCTTGTAGCTGCGCGCAAGCTAATTCCTTGGTTAAACTTGCCGTTCATGATAGTAAGGACGTAGTCTGCGCAACGGATGGTAATATTTGGTTAGCATTCTCGCCCCTTTCACGCCGGTTGGGCCACTATCACCGGGGACCTTACCAAGGAGCTGTCGTACAGACACCCACTGGTCCCAGGTGCAAGGCTTGCCATATTTGTTGTTGAGGTAAACGGCGTCCATGAGCTCGCCGTAAATGTCGAACTGGTGGTGGAAAGCAGCGCCGTTCCCAATGCGGACGGGCTTGCTACCCCTGTACCCATCGAGGTGGCCGAGTTCGAGCTCGGGGATCTCAGTCTCGCCCCTGATGGTGAACATGATGGGGAGGCCCCCGTCGGGGGCGCGAGACTGGAGAATTCGCTCGCTGATGAACTCCATGTATGCGTCCGCCTCTTCCTTGAACCCAAGCCGCAGCAGGATATAGATCGTGAAGCTGGAGTCGCGCACCCACGAGAAGCGATAGTCCCAGTTTCTGGAAACACCAACCAGTTACGGGAAGGTCAGACCACGCCGGTATCGATCCGGAAAGTAGGGAAGATGCCAGTGGACGGCTTTGGATGTTTGGGGAAGCGAACTTGGCTGCTTACCGAACACCGCCGATGTCTTCTGGGATAGAGAAGGTAGGGGCAGCCACAATAGCCCCTGTAGGCTCGTAAGTCAGAAGCTTCAGAATCATGAGGCTCCTGCTCACGACCTCGCGCCACCTTCCCTTGTACTTGGACTTGGAGATCCAGTTGTACCAATAGCTTTGGGTTGAGTGCTGCTGGGCGTCGAGCACGGCGGTCGTGATGTGCTCGGTGACGTGATTCGGGATGTCCTCGCGCAGCACAAACGACGCGGCCTGGCCTTCTTGGATGGTGATGTGGGCCACGACGCCCTCGCCGAGCATGCCGGGTCTCTTGACCTTTTCGAACCTTACTACTGGATACGTGCCAGCCGAGGTGTGGTCTCCGCAGTCCAGCGTCACGTCAAGCTGCAGTTTCAGATCTTTACCATGGAATGTGACCGTCTTGCTTTTCGTGTTATTGCACTGTTCACCGTGGGCTGATTCGATGATTTCAGTGACGTGAGGCTCTTTGGCGTAGCCCAGCGCTGGGAAGAGCTCGATATCTGCATTTCAGGGGTTAGGCGAGTGAACGGACGGAAGGAAAGAGAAAAAGATATCAGGTAGCCTACCCAGAGCCAGACTTCCGCGGATACATTCGACCCTTCTGACGAGCCACTTCTTGAGCTCGTCGGGCACCTTGGTCATCTCGCGGAAAGCGTTCTGCTTGGGGGCCTTGGCGACGACGATGGTCTGCTTCGGTCTGGGGAAAAAGTCCACCAAGTCTACAACTCCATCTTCGTGAATGTAGCGCGTCTGCAGGATGTTGCTGGAGGGCAGATACTGCTGCTTGGTGGTGCAGGAGATGTCGGCCGGGGGCGCGATGCTGAAGTGGCCGCCCTTGTCCTTGTCCAGGAGCCGGCAAAAGACGGAGGGGGAGTCGAAGTCGGGCCAGCACATGAAGTCGATGCTCCCGTCCATGCCGACCAGGGCACAGGTCCTCATGTTCCCGATGATGCCGTAGTTCTCGACGGGCAGGTAGCCGCCAGCCCGACCGCGCATGCCCTGCGTGGGGGTCGCATTGTGAGATGGCGTGCCCATGCTCGGGAGGATCTGGCCTTCAGATTGGGGGATGGGAAAGAAGGGTGTGTGGGAAGTGGGAGGAAGGCTAGTGCGGAATGTCGTAACTGGGCACGCATCTTTTGTTTATATACGGCGACTAACATGGAGCAGGCGGGGTAGACAAGAGCTCTCTTAAAAAGGTTAGCAAGCTACAGCTACGGTAGCACTGTATGTAGGCAGGCATGGAGTTAAGTGAGCTCCTGCAGAGTGTTGGGCAATCCCGTGACATAATGATGGCGCAGGTCTTACTCAGCGACCTACGTGCCCATCCCCACTTGAAGCCATTGAGGTTCGTGATGGTTTGGGTAAATGCACCTTGTCGATTCCCGCTCCGGGGATCTCCATGCCGCAACTCAAGCCGTCTCGACTCCACCCAGGTACATGGAGGTGGGTGGTTAGATTCGGCAACTTTCGGCAACTGGTACCTCGAATGCGGAGACCACTGTGCGGGTTTAAGGCTGTCAATTACATGAAGTACCCCAGTTTTGAAAACGAAAACGAGGCTAGAGGCAAAAGGAAAGTGAAAGAGAAATAGAAGGGCTTTGCTGGAGATATTCTGAGGTAAAACTTAGGTTATATCAATGATCAATTCTATTACTATGCCCTCATTGGGACGGTCCCAGGACCTCGGAAGCTGAAGCCTCCACAATCCAGGGGCCGACCCCTGTCGTTCTGTGGCTGAATTTGGGAATTAGGTGGTTGCTGATGCGGTGCCCGTCCTGGCCGCTGTCCTTTTTTAGTGTGGAATTGTGAATTGGCGATTGAATGAGTGCATCTCAAGACGACAGATTGTGCTCTTCAGCTGAGCGCGGCCAGTCTGTTCCCTCCTGGCTCGCAAGATCCTGCTGTAAAGATCCCCCTGCCTAGGCTGCACGCTAGACCAGACTACCGAGACGGGGCTAAGTCGCCTGCGTCGTAGTGCCGTGGCCGTCACCCTGCTGCGACCTTGGCTAGGGGAACGATGCTCCAGAGGCAAGGACACCTCCACAGATCCCCTCTCCACCGCAACCCTCGCACTAGCCATAAAAACCATGCCCTCGCGCTCGGCGCCGACTCAGGGACGCAACCCCAGGCCACCAAACAGCCAACCACCACCGCCAGACCGCCTGCCCACCACGACGGCGCCGCCACCAGACCCGGCCGCCCCGACCACCTCCCTCGATAGCCTCTCGACCTCCTCGTCCGCCCAGCCCACGCCCACGAGGTCCTCCGGCTTCTCCTCCCCCCGAGCCTCACCGTCGCCCCCTGCCGCCGCCGTCGACCTGCTCTCGCCCGAAGCGCCCGCCTCCGTACCACCGTCGTCATCCCTGCGCCCGGGCGGCGCCTCCTCCGCCCCCTCTGGATCCCGCGTGCCCGAGTCGCCCGAGTCCGCCATCGAGATGGAGCCATTGACCCCGGCGGCGAGCCACCACCGGCGCCGGAGCAGCCTCATGAACCCTCCCAACGCCGCCTCCAACCCGCCGGGGAAGCGCGGTGCCAGGGCTGCCGCCGGCGGTAGCGGGGCTGGCGGCACCGGTAGCGGCGGCGCTGCTGGCGGTGGTGGTGGCGGTGGTGGCGGCGGCAGTGTTGTCGTTGTTGGGGGCGGCAGCGGCGGGGCCGGCACTCCGACAGACGCCAGGACGACGATGGCGGGAGGGCGAGCCAGCAAGCGGGCCGGCGGGCCCCCGGACTCGGACAGCGACGACATCTCGGACGAGGACCTGCACGGCGACGAGGAGACGGGGCTGACGAAGAGCCACCGGCTGCGCAAGCTCGAGAAGAGGAGAAGAAACACGCGCCTGGACCAGAGGATAGCCAGGGACGGCGGCGGAGTCACGGAGCAGGAGAAGCGGGAGGCTGACAAGACGGTGGTCCGCCGCCTGCTCGTCAACCTGTCGCTGATTGGGATGTGGTACATATTTTCGCTCAGCATATCCATCGTAAGAACAATTTTCTGCCCCCCTGGCTCTACCTACTGCTCCCCCAGATCATTGAGTGCGCCCGAGCTAATCCGCGACTGCGTTTGGCGAACCTAAAAGTACAACAAGTGGATGTTTGACTCCAAACAGCTAGACTTCCCGTTCCCCATGTTCACCACGTCGATCCACATGCTGATACAGTTTGGGCTCTCGTCGGCTGTGCTGTACTTTATACCGTCGCTGCGTCCCAGGAGTGGCCGCAAGCTGGAACGTGGCCAGGCCAGGCACGATGCCGGCCCGGAGCGGCCCCTGATGACCAAATGGTTCTACTTTACCAGGATAGGGCCTTGTGGTGCCGCGACGGGGCTTGATATTGGGCTCGGCAACACCTCGCTGAAGCTGATCACACTGACTTTTTACAGTAAGTCCATCACTTCCCAGTTGCCGAGGTGTCATGCCATGCCTTTATCTCTCTCTAACCTTGTTCCTCCCAGCCATGTGCAAGTCATCCGTCCTCGCCTTCGTGCTCCTGTTCGCCTTCCTCTTCCGGCTCGAGACGCCGACGTGGCGCCTGTTCGCTATCATCGGCACCATGACCATGGGCGTCGTCATGATGGTGGCGGGCGAGGTCGAGTTCAAGCTCAGCGGCTTCCTCCTCGTCATCTCGGCCGCCTTCTTCTCGGGCTTCCGCTGGGGCCTAACGCAGATTTTGTTGCTGCGCAACCCGGCCACGTCCAACCCCTTCTCGAGCATCTTCTTCCTCGCCCCCGTCATGTTCGTCACCCTCTTCTCCATCGCCATCTTCGTCGAGGGCGTGCCCGAGCTCTGGCAGGGCATGAATGCGCTCGCCGAGGCCAGGGGCGCCCTGGCCGCGCCCTTGATCGTGCTCTTCCCGGGCGTCATCGCCTTCTTCATGACCGTGTCCGAGTTCGCGCTGCTGCAGCGCACGTCGGTCGTGACGCTGTCCATCGCGGGCATCTTCAAGGAGGTCGTCACCATCCTGGCCGCCACCTTGGTCTTTGGCGACAAGCTGACGCCCGTCAACTTTGCCGGCCTCGTCGTCACCATGGCCGCCATCTGCTGCTACAACTACCTCAAGATCACAAAGATGCGCGCCGAGGCTCTGGCCTCCACCCACGACGCCGCCGCCGCCGCCGCCGCCCATCGCGATGGGGGGAGCAGCGGCGGCGGCGGTAGTAGCAGCAGCGAGGCCGAGCTTGATGGCGACACCGAGGACGCCGCGCTCCTGAGGAGGCTCAGCGCCGACGGCCCGCCGAGGACGCCGCTGTGGACCACCGACGGGGACATGCTTTCGAACCTGGAGCAGCCGCTTTCGGTCGCCGCTGGGACTTCGCCGCGGCCTCGCCAAAGAGAGGATTGAGACTCACCCGCAGTCGCTCATTTTTTTTTTTTGTTCCGACACGCATTTCCTCTCTCTCGCCCACGTCTTTTTAGCTCTCGATTCATATCCGTTTCTTCATGTACTTGACATGTGTACTTTTGTCCGTTTCTCTCTTTCTTTGTCGTTTCTTTTCTCCCTCATACATGCGTCGGCCGTTAGCTTGTTCACGGTACCCATGTGCGAGTGCTTTTATGCCGCATTTACATAGGCAGGCGTGCGCCCACTGCCGACTCGCTCCCCGCTGTTACATCACAGGATTGAAGTCGACTGAGCACGGCACGGAAACCAAAACGGGGAATACAGTCGGGGAGTTTGGCCCGTCATCCCATCCCCTGCGCGCATGCAGTAGGGATTTCTGCGTTTCCTGTTTCTGCGTTGGCATAGGCGCAAGGGGCCCCTTCTCTGGTGGTCTTTTTCGATCTGGTTCTTGCTTGCGGATGGGTGGGTTGGTGGTACAAGACTAGATGGAAGAGTCATTTGATTTGCACGATATATACTACCCAGGTACCACTTGGGCGCAGACAGATACCCTGGGCGAATTTCTCTTGTTCCATAACCACCATCGCCTCGTCGAACTCGCTTCCTAGACGTAACGGATGCTGATCTCGACATAGTCGAAACGGTCATAGCCGGCCAGCTTACCAGCGTCACCGTTGAGCTTGAGTACGAGGACCGTAAGGGTGTATCGCCCAGCAGGCGCGTGGGTGCCATCAGCCAGTTGCCCATCCCAGTTCTTCATTCGGCTTCCAGGCCCAACACCGAATACCGGGTAGCCGGCAATGCTCCCTAGGGTCAGCATTCCGAGCCCGTTGTCCTTGGCAGCAGTGCCCGCCGCCACCACGGGCACTGCCTCGATCCGCACCTCCTTGCTGCCCAGCAGGATCCAATCAAACGTCGAAGGCATAACGCCAGCGGGAAGGGCTGTCGCGGAGCCGTTGAGCACCGGCTGCGCCCACTCGGGATGGCTAGCCGGGGCGGGCAGCTGAAAAGTGGTTCCGTTTGCTACCTGCGGGAAACGAGGCTCGTCGCTTCGTGACAGCCATATGCGGTCCGATGCTAGCACCTTCATGTCCACCATGGAAGCCGTGGTCCCAAAGTAGGGGAGCGAAAGCGATGTAGCCTGGCTCCCGGTGGCACCAGTGCCGTTGAGGACGACCCAGCCCGAGTAGAAGGGGAGAAGATTTTCGGCAAGCTGGGTGGGCGGCGAGATGGTGAGGCGGACCTCGGCGCTCGAGTTGGGCTCTATCGTCACGCTCTCGGTCTGGAATTTGAGCGTCGCGTAGTACGGGTATAGGTCTGGGGCCGACGAGCGATACACCGGGTTGAGAGTCGCAGCCGTAAGGGCGGGGTGTGCGAAAGCTTGTACGTCACAGGCGTGTTGCCTAGGTTGGTGACAGTGAAGGAGACGTTGGGGTTGAAGCGGGCCTTGTCCATCAACTCCAAGGCAGGCACGCTGAGGAGCGCCGTCGCATGCACTGCGTCGTAGGCTTGTATCATTCCCGCGCCCTGCCATGGCACCGGAACGATTCCGGGAGTGGGACCTTGGGTGAGCCAGTCGATGCCAACATTCGGCTTGGCCGTCGTCGAAAGGAGCCGTGTTATCAATGCGCTGTCCCTAGTCCCGCGGGCCTCCATGATCAAAGCCACAATGCCGGCCGCCAGAGGAGTCGACATCGAAGTGCCACTTGCCACCTCGTAGCTGCCCATGGACACGGGATAGGTTGATATAATGCTCCCCCCTGGGGCACCAAACTGAGGCTTCATGGTCAGCTCGAAGGTCGAGCCCCAGAGACCAAACAGGCTCACCAAGCCGCCGCTGGCAGGGTTGGGCACCGACGAGTACTGGCCCGTGGCGGTATCGTAGGTTGGCGTCTCCGAATTCTGGAACGATGTAATGCCCATCACGCCCGGGCCACTTGCCGGTGCGCTGACGCCGAAAACACCTTCGGCGCCGCCCACCCGGTTACCAACGGCGAAAGTGCAAGGCACGCCAAGGTCGACAATGCGCGAAACCGCCACAGACAGAGGGTCGCTGGCCCAGCCGGCCGCGGCCCGGCCCAGCGAGCCCGTGATGATGTCGCTTCCATCGTCGAAAGCGCGAAGAATGGCCTGCAGGATCACGTCGAGGCCAGAGCCGCCCGTGCAGCCAAAAACGCGGTACATGCCAAGCTTGGCGCCGGGGGCAGCCCCGCGGAAACCAAGCGGGTTCTCTCTGGCAGCGATGATGCCGGCGACGTGTGTGCCATGACCAACACAGGCATCCATGGGATCGGCGTCAGGCACAGGCGTGTTGTCCCCATTGTAGTCATCGCCGACCAAGTCGGCCCCATACTCGACCACACAGCCGGGGCCGAAGCAGCCGCCCAGAGCCGGGTGAGTGTAGTCGACGCCCGTGTCAACGATGCCGATGCGAAGGCCCTTGCCCGTGAGCCCCTCGGCTAGCAGTCGGTCGACCTGCGTCTGGACGTGAGGGGAATAGTTGCCCCCGACGGCGGCCGCGGCACGTCGATGCACGTCGGCCAGGGGCGTGCCGGCGGCGGTCCAGTGCACCTCAGGTTTTGGCATGGGCACCACGGTGACTGGCCAGAGGTTCTTTACTTGAGGCAGCTCGCTGATGCGCCGGAACTTGGCCTCGGCGCTTTCCTCGGGCCCGCCGGAGCTATCAAGGTGAAAGGACACGCCCTTGAAAGCGCGCGACCCGAACCTGAAGCGCTCCGTTACATTCCCAAGACCTGCTCTATTTTCAACGTAATCGAGGAATCTGCCGGTGCCCTGCATGTTCAACATATCAGTCTCGCGAGCGAGCATACCCCTATCTTTGTAGCTGGGAAACACACCTCGTCGGCCAACTCGGCGATGTATGCGCCCGGAACGATAACATGTTCCGCGACGGGGGGTGCGGCTGGCGGAATCTCGCTGCGGCGAGTGACGGGGCTAGCCGAAGCTGAGGCCGCGACGAGGGCGGTACCCAAGGCAGTTCTCCAGTGAACCATGGCGACGGGGAGCGGGCGGTTAGGAGCAGGTTGTCACTCGGACTGAGGCAGCGCGGGCTGAGGACGGCAAGAAGGGTCGAGCCCTCGCTCCCCGACGGCCCCCCATCGCCGTCTTATAGGCCTGCGATGTGCGGCATATCGTGAACATGGACCTGCGGGGGACCAGAACAGGCCCAGGGTGGGCGATCGAGTGCGTGATATCGAGCAAGATAATGGGGATGATGCGTGAGTGGGCTTCTCCTCCTTCGGCAGTGCGTGGGTGGTATAATGGCGGGGCTCTCCACTGCGCGCATCACAGGTCGGCCAAAACGGGAGGGTGGTCAGTGTGAGTGCCAGGGTCCAACGGTGGTCGTGTTACATCGCCCCATAGCCACCACCTGCCCAAAAGATGAAAGCCTGCCCGCTGTAGGGGCTGGCGACAAAGGTCAGAGGGTGTGGGCAAACGGGAAGCCAGTGACCGTCCAGCGTATAGATATGTAGGGAGGGGGCTCGTGCGTATGTGCCGGCCTGCGTCCATGTAGGCTCACGGGAAGAAAAGAAGAGCTCAAAACAAGGACGAGGGATGGCAGACCACACCTACAGAGAAGTTGAGGCGGGCCAAGTGAAATGAGAGCCGCAACGACGGGCGGCGGGGCACCGCCACAACACCTGCCGTCTTCCACTCCACCGGAGCTACCACAACAGGAAATGGGGAGGATGGCGCCCGCCCAATGGATCCCACAATGGGCAGGGACGTAGCAAATCTCTGTGGCCTTGGCCGAAAAAAAAGTTGTAGCGATGCACGCATTCCATGCCAAGTGGCTCGCCCGACCGCCGTAGCACGTCAACGGTTGCTGTCGACGCATGCCGCCGCCGCCGTCGGAGTCTCTTGTTTGAGCTTGGTTCTTGGGTCTGGAGCCGAAAGCCGAGCCGCCGGAGCTGCGCATTCGGGCCTTTTTTTCTTCTCGAATATCTGCGCGTCACGTAACCTCCGAGTATAAAACCATCCAAGTCGTTATAATTGTTGGCCCCAAGGAAGGACAGCCAGCGCCAGACCTCACACACCTCAAACCCCACCAAGCTCCCACAGTCTGCGGGAGCGACTCATTTCAAAATGGCCAAACCTCTCTTTGAGGTTCCAGTTTACATGGCGGCGAGCTTGATCGTCTCATGCGTTGCGATGCTGTTCGGGTATGTTTATCACTGACTAGGTCCTCCCAAGTCGTGCCCCTGAGTTGCCGCAAGGGTGAGAGCTCAAGGCGAGAAGCTGACCTAGGCATCGCCTCCCCGCCGGCGCAGTCTTGATACGGGCTCGATAGGTCCCGTGACAACAATGTTGGCCTTCAACAAAACCTTTGGCCAGCTTTCCGCGACGCTTCACGGTGTCGTCGTCTCCTCCATTCTCCTCCCCGGCGCCCTGAGCGCCATGTTGGCCGGCGTGCTGGCCGACCGCTACGGCAGAAACCGCCTGATCGCCATCGGGGGCTGCACGTACGCTGTCGGCGCCGCTATCGAATGCGGCTCGACCATACTTGGCGTTTTCATCCTGGGCCGACTTATCAAGGGCGTGGGCGAGGGCCTCTTCCTCAGCACTGTTTACGTTTACGTGGCCGAGATCTCGCCGCCGCGTGTCCGCGGCACCCTCTCGGCGCTGCCGCAGTTCCTAATCACGCTAGGTATCGTCACGGGCTTCTTTACCTGCTATGGCACGGGAGCCACCATCCGCGAGTCGAGCCTGGCGTGGCGCCTGCCCCTAGCCCTTGGTTCGCTCCTCGGGTTCCTGTTCTCGGCCACCGTTGCCCTCGTCCCGCCATCGCCCCGCTGGCTGGTGTCGCAGGGCCGAATGGACGAAGCCCGTGCCGTGGTTGCAAGTCTGGGGCTGAGCGAGGACGAGCGCGATGAGATGCTGACGCTACCAGACCCGGCGGACTCGGTAGTCCACCACGGTGCCGAGGGCTCCGGCGGGCGGAAGACAACGCTGAGCGAGGACGTAAAGCACATGCTGAGCGGTTTCGGGCATGCCTTCTCGGGGCCGTTCAGGGCGCGCACGGCCTTTGGCTGCTTCATCATGGCCTTCCAGCAGTTCAGCGGCATCGACGGAGTCCTCTATTACGCGCCCACATTATTCAGGCTTGCAGGTTTGACATCGGAACAGGCCTCTTTTTTGGCTTCGGGAGTGTCCGCCCTCGTCATCATGGTCGTGACGGTGCCGGCGACGCTGTGGGCGGATAAGTGGGGGCGTCGGACATCGACACTCGTGGGAGGCAGCCTCATAACGGTAGAGATGCTGCTTATGGGCTCGCTGTACGCAGCGGGCCAAGTCCAACCGACGGGTGGAGCGGGTAGGTGGGTGGTCATTGTGACCATCTACCTCTTTGCTGTCACTTTCAGCGTGACGGTAAGTCGTCGATATTTACACCTATTGTATAAATTGTATAAATCTTTATAACAAGGGTTGCATCAAAAGCTGACGCACAAGTATAATTGTCAGTGGTCTATCTCCTTGCGGACGTTTCTCGTCGAGAGTCTACCACGCAAGACCCGAAGCAGCGCCAGCGCCCTGGCGCAAAGCTCCAATTGGGTAAGTTTGTGGAGGTTGAATATCAGTGAGAAAGAATGCCGCTGAAAAGGTAGCTGACTGAGACGCATGTATAGCTTGCCAACTATTTAATTGCTCTCACAACGCCAATGCTGTTGGCGAAGTCAACGTTCGGAGCATACTATTTTTTCGGATTTGCGACGCTTTTTTGCACCCTAGTGTGCGCCGCCTTCATGTTTGAGACGAAGGGCAAAAGCCTCGAGGTGATCGAGCAGCAATACAAGGAGAGCAGGGCGGCGCAGACAACGGGAAGATGGAATTTGGGGGACCTTCAGCTGAAGCGCATGAGGGTCCAAGTGGCGCCCTCTGACGGCTGATGATGGCCGTAGTTATCTGGATGGCGATATTTTATCATTATATGTGGAGGCGACGAGTTTGTGCACAGAATCAGATTGAATCAGATGCTGAAGGTTGTATGTGGATGACGATGAAGTAAATGCTGGAGACAACGTGAGGAAAATTGAGGGTAGCGGGGGTCGGGACCCACAAATTAGGTTCCTGCGGTAGCCATATAAGGCTTGAGCACAGTTATGCCTTCGCCTTCGGGCATTTGGTCAATTTGAAACGATACAGAGAAGATTAGCATGGCCCCTGCACTAAGGATGACACGCTCAATCAAAGAGAAGCTTAACATTTTTTTGCGTTTGGATTCGAGTCCGCTTGAGCTCTTTTCTTTTTTCTTTTTCTTTTTTTTTTTTCTTCCACCAGTACCCTCTTTTCCCTCTTCCTGTCGCATTTATTCCTTTCATTCCATAACAACAGTTACTTCCCATCTTTACGCCCCTTACTATTATTCTTCATACCGCCACTGGTTTTTTCGGGCAGGTGCAAATCCTTCCCCTCAGCGCCCTGTCCTCGCTTATAATCTCGGAATGGAACAAAAGCAAGACAACTGGTAAGACGGCCAGACACGCTGACCCAACACCTCACAAGCGGACGGAATTCTTAGTAGATGGCACCTCTTGGCCTAACCTAATCATTACTGCACGAGAATCCGCGATGCATTATCTGGCCCCCTGTCGTGTGCATCGTAAGTCGTAGCTGGAGGAGCATGGTCAAGGTGCATGTACGTAATATTAGGTAGCTCCTGCAATCAATGACATTTCGAGGGTTGATACCCCTATCTCGGACTCTGGAGCGCAAAGAATGTCCGCCGCCGCCATGATGGATTGTGTATTATGTATCGCAGCCGAGGCCAGGCTGTGTCCATATATGGCGGGTGCTCCCTTCGATTCCTCGCCGTCCTTGCCCTCCCCCTGCCCTTCGCGTCTGTCGTTCCTTCCTCCATCCTACGTCAGTGCACCCTCCCGACTTTGACTCCTGCCAGACTCGACCGCGCCGAATCGCTGACAGCACCCCAAAGCATAATCACTTGTGCGCCCGTCTGCCCGGTCTGTGCTACTACCCGGCTGTTGCTGGCACGCGCCATCCTGAATCTCCGGTAAGGACATCTCGCATCAGCGCCCTCCAGTCGACGGCGCCACAGCCGAAATCATGCCAGATCCAAGCGCCCGCGGCGGCGCGCCAGCAGACGCGCCCGCCGCCTCCGCCACAAGCGACGACAGTGTTGACAGACATGCGCGCCAAGGTCCACCCCCGGCCCGGAGCCCCGACCAGCAGCCGCGCGCCCAGAGGGCGAGCGGATCTCGCGATAGCGACTCCGCCCCCGCTTCACCACGCAGCGATAGCCCCGAGCCCGAGGCCGCCACTCCAATTGGCGGCCACGACGACCACGACGGTCACGATTACGGGCACGACGACGGCCAGGTCAGGCTTCTGCAGAGCGACGACGGCCCGGTCCAGCAGGACGAGGACATGTCAACATGGACGGGTAGGACCGCCATCAAGGGCGGCTCCGAGACGGTGCGCATGGCCCTGCTGACGTGCAGCCATGTCGGAGTTTCGTGAGTTTCGCCATTGGCTTCTTTGTTTCTGCTGCTGTCTCCGTGTCCTGACCACGGACTGACGTCTATTCCTCTGCGGCTGTGGCGGCAGCTTCACGTGGGGGGTCGAGATGACGTGTAAGTGTATCGTCTGCCGGAGCGTTTCTTCTTGCGGCTAACGCCACCCACCTAGATTGCACCCCGTATCTGCTATCTCTAGGCCTGACCAAGGGGCAGACCTCGATGGTTTGGCTCGCAGGCCCCTTGTCCGGCCTTATCGTCCAGCCCATTGTGGGCGTGGTGTCTGATGGTTCAAGGTCGCAATGGGGCAGGCGTCGACCTTTTATCGCCGTCTGCTCCGTCATCGTCGCATTGGGTCTGTTGACTCTAGGCTTTACTAGGGAGATCGTAGCCATATTCATCTACGTGCCGCCGCCCTCGCCACCCACCGACGCTGCCGCCGCCGCCGCCGCCGCTGCCGCTGCCGCGTCAGGAGGCGGCCCGGGGCGCTTCTTGACCATGGCACTGGCTGTATTGGCCCTATACGTGACAGATTTCGCCATCAACGCCGTCATGTCCTGCTCACGCTCCCTGATGGTCGACACCCTGCCCATGCAAAAACAACAGTCTGGCGCTGCCTGGCACGGACGCATGGGCTCCATCGGGCATATCATGGGCTATGGCGCCGGCGCTATCGACCTAGTTGGCATGCTGGGCTCGTGGCTCGGGGACACTCAGTTCAAAAAGCTCACCGTGATCGCCGCCGCCGCCATCCTCGTGACGTCGGGACTCACCTGCTGGGCCGTGTCGGAGCGCGTGCTCGTATCGCCAGCGCCCGGTCCCCGCGAATCGGGCTCGCCCCAACGCTTCAAGGTCTTTAGGCAAATCTGGAGCACCCTCCTTACCCTTCCTCCTAGGATCCGTGGTATCTGCTGGGCCGTCTTCTGGTCCTGGATTGGCTGGTATCCCTTCCTGATATACGTAGGTTCCTTCTTGTCCATGTAGCTCCCCTCGTCGGTCTCCAGCACGGCTTGGGAGATCTGACTGACGCTGACCGTGTCTTGCATCTCCTGTAGAGCAGCACGTGGGTCGGAGAAACGTACTTCCGCTACGACGTGCCCGCGGATGCAAAGCAGTCCAAGGACGCCCTCGGCGATATGGGCCGCATAGGCAGCTCCGCCCTCGCCGTATACTCGTTCATCACAGTCCTAGGCGCGTGGATCCTGCCGCTCCTAGTGCGGAGCCCGGACGACAGCGACACCAGCATCCCGGACCCGACCCTGCCCGGCACCTCCTCGCAGCAGGAGCAGGGCCCCCTCGCCATCCTGCACCGCCGCTACCCCACCCTCGCCCACCTCCTGGCCCGCTTCAGCAGCTCCAGGCCCGACCTGCTGAGCGTCTGGATCTGCGCGCATCTGATGTTTGCCGCCTCCATGTCGCTGGCCCCGTTTGCTTCCTCGTTCCGCTTCGCCACGGCCCTGGTCGCATTGTGTGGAATCCCCTGGACCATCTCGATGTGGGCACCTACCGCGCTCCTGGGCGTCGAAGTCAACCGCCTTAGCGATGGCGGCAGCGGCAGCGGCGCGAGCTATCGTAGACTCAGCACGTCGTCACTCGAGTTTGCCGAGCTGCCGGCTAGGTCCGGTTCCGACGATTCTGCTGCCGCTACGGCATCTCCTGGTGCTGGGGCAGGTGGCGGCGGCGGCGGCGGCGGCGAGCTTAGCGGCATCTACTTTGGCATTTTGAACATCTACGTCACGCTCCCGCAGTTTGCGAGCACCCTCATCAGCACCCTCGTCTTCGCCGTGCTCGAGCCCGGCAAGAGCCCGGAACTGTCGGGCTCGCACCCGTCGGAGCACAACCCGACCGACGGCACCAACGCCATCGCCATATGCCTGTTCATTGGCGCCATAGCCGCTGTCGGCGCCGCCCATGCCACCAGGAAGCTCAGATATCTGTAGACAAGGAGGGAAAAAAACAAGACATTGCTTTGCCCAGTACTGTCGCGAAGCATATCATCAATCCCTCTATCTGATGTGGTCCCTCTATATATGGTCCGTCCTCGCTTTTGCTTGCTTTGCCCTTGTTACTTCTTTTCGCTCTATATTTACTACGCCAAGTTATTCCTTTGCATAGCATGGCGTTTAGCCCATAAATACATAATGTCATTAGAATCCATACTCATTATAAATACCTGCATATTCTCCAGCTAGCCGTCTCTTGATCATTTAATGCGAGCCATGTGTTGTTCATTACTACCTCTCATGTCTGTAGCTACTACCTAACTACCCAGGGTACCTACTTCCCTAACAATTGCAACAAGTTCAAAGGCCCCCTGAGAACAGCACCCCTTCGATTCTCCATACGCACCCTCATTATCCAGCCAGCATCACAGCCGATTGCACGTATAATCTTCCTTGTAAGCAATCAAAACATGGAAACACGCATCAAGCACTGGGGCAGGGCAGATGTCGGAGCAACGTCGAGGAATTCCACGGCGACACTAAGAAAAAAGATACAAAGATGACGGCTGGTAACTCGTGGTGGATTGGATGCGTGGCGGCCGTGTTCGAACGTGGCACGGGTACAAACAAAGGAAATCAAGCCCGGCTCTGGGATCGACCGAGTTTAAACAGCAGTCAGATAGCATAGGACGAACAAAAGAAAAGTAAACCAGCAACACTGTGGCTTGTCCCCGTCGCTAGGTCGACGAGGTATCAAATTAGCAGGACCTTTCCAGAACAACCTGCCCCGTTCTCGCGCCCTGAAACTCCTGGAAAACAAAAGTCAAACCGGCGGAAATAGTATGAAGTGTGTGAACCAGAATTGGTTGCCGAAACCATAACACGCCACCACCGCCGCGCATGGGAATAAGAAGGAATATCCTTTAGAAAACGGCTCGCGTCCCTTCCTGCCACTTCCGGTGGAGACCAGACTTGCCCTCGGGCGTCTCCGACACGGGAGTCCTGGGGCCAGGGCTGCCCGCCACGTCGTCGTCGGTTCTCACGCTAGCGCCTCCCCACGACTTGCGACTGCCGCCGAGGGTCCGCCTCCGCCCGCCGTCGCCGCCTGCGGTGGGGCCAATCCACTCCCAGGCGCGGCCGATCTCGCCGTTGTGGCTCTCGCGCTGGCCCTGCCGGACGTTGCTGTTCTGCTCGACCACGACGCGGACCCGCTCCCAGATGCGCTCGCGCTCCTTGAGCTTGTGCTCAGCCCGCAGCACGTCGTCGCGGAGGTTCGGCAGGAAGAGGAAGGGGTCCTCCTCGCCGCCGACCTCGTACGCGAGCTCCTTCTGGTTCGCCAATTTCTCCAGCACCACGTCCACGAGGCGCGGCACCCTTTCAGCCATAGCCTTGCGCCGCCGGTACGAAACCCGCGCGTACTGGAACGACGCAAAGAGAGTCACTAGCGAGAAGGCTACAACTGCAATGCCGAATCGATATCGCTCCAGTCCGCGTCGGACGTAGAGCTGGGCCGCGCAGGCGTACGGAAGGCTAGCGTGAGAGGTGGACGATAGGTAGGTGTTTGGAAAACCTCCGGAATCGCCGGCTCTACGGGGCCAGCGACAGGGCTGGTTAGTGATGATGGTCAGATGCGACGAATTGTTTTGGTTAGGGGTTCCCCACGGCCCGAAGCTTGTAGAAGAAAGCCAGGTCTGAACAGTAAAAGAAAGAGCAGAGAGACTTACTGGACAGTCTCGACCTCGACCTCGTCTCGGGATTGGATCTCGCCGAGAGCGGCGACCCACAAGTCGTCAAACTCCTGCTTGCTGAGCTTCTTGCTCCTCTGTTCGCCGACAATCTCCTTGAGGACATCCTCCTCGATGGATGCCGCCTCTACCGGCTTGCCCTCGTCATCGGCCGCATCGCCGCACTCGAACTTGGCCCGGCGGTTCCTCAGCTCCTCGACGGCCTTGTCAGCGATGGCCTGGACGCGACGGGCCTTGACTCCATCTGGCTCGCACGTTGGGGGAAGCGGCACCAGTCCGCCGAGAGAGAGTGGGTGGGGCTTGAGGATGTAGTCGTCGTCGCAGCTGACGGTGAAGTCGTCGAAGCAGTAGGCATGGGTCGGGCACGCCTCGCACTGCGGCTCCAGAACGAGAATAGCCCAGTCGGGCAGCTTGTCCTGTACGTCCTGAGGAAGAATCTGCGTGGCCGGCTGTCCCAGTCCGCAGTATCCAACCTTGACCTTCTCCTGACGGTACCAGCCCGCGTAGGCGCCGAGCAGCGTGACTAGAAGTACCAGGACTGGGGTCGTGAGGCTGACGCCTGCGCGCTTGGCCGGTGGCTGTCGCCTCGCAATGGCACTGTGTGTGGCCTCTTCTTGAGCCAGCTCGAGCTGCTCGTCGGGCGTGAACTCCTCCCCGGCCTCGACCATTCTGGGCGGCTCCGGCGTCCTGGGAGCCTTGAGAGCGCTCACGGGTATCTCGTAGGATCTCGATATCTTGCGGGAGGGCTGCTCCAGAACCGGGCCGTCAGTGCGTCTCCTGGCGGTGGAGGCCGCCTTGGACACGACTGAGTCGATACCGCCACCGCCCGTGGTCCTCCGGCGGTTGCTCGGGGTCTTCAAGGCTTGCGGAGGGGAGCTACCGCTCTGAAAGGGGTTGTCGTTGGTGAAGACGGCACTCGAGACTTTTGGCGATGGTTTTCTGGTGCTGGCAGTACCGATGCCGTCATAACCGAACTGGTCGCTCTCCTCCACCGTGGGCGGTTCGAGCCTCACGTGCGGCGTGACGGAGCGGTGGGGTGCGGCTCGGGGGGTTTTAGCAGCAGCTTCGGCGTCAGTGTCCATGACTGAGCGGCGTGGGGCAGCGCGAGGAGTCTTTGAGGCGACGTCACCGTCGGCGTCGATGAAGGAGTGGCGGGAGACTGCACGGGGGGTCTTGGTGGCGGGGACGTCGTGGTCGCTGTCGGCGTCGGAGAGCAGCTGACGAGAGGTAGAGCGCGTGGAGCGTTTGCGCGGGCTAATGGGTGCGCGGCGTTCGGGCTCGTCGAGATCCGAGGGGTCCTCGGACTGGAGACGGCGCGACACCTTCCTGGGCGAGCGGGATCGGGTGGCGTTCCTCGCGGGTGGAACCATGTCGTCCATGAAGTCGGTAGACGACGAGTTGGAGCTCTCGACATCAACGATCCCCCTGCTAGAGCGTTTGGCCCTCGCGCGCTCGGCGAGGATCTTTGCCGACCTGGGCGCGACCTCGTCGAGGAAGATGTCGATCAGCTGGCCCTTCTTGGCCGTGGCCGGGTACTGGACGCCATAGGTGACAAGGATAGAGCGCAGGCGCGGCACCGTCAGCGTGCGCGGGTCGAAGTCGGGCTGGAGGTAGTCGAGGTTTTCGGAATCAGACATGGTTGCGGCTTCTCGGCGCGCCGACCTGCCTGAGCGTCGTCGTGCGGGAAGGGAGCAGAGGGAGTTAGAGGTAGGCACCAGGCAGCTAAGGGAAAGCACACGGGCAGAAGCGATGCGCCAGGACGCTGCCAGTCCAGGCCTTGATTTCCAGCAATTCGCTCGACAGGAGGGGAAGGTGGTTCAGGCGTGGGCGTGGGCGAGGGCGAGGGTTAGGGAGGGGCCACGTTGGTCAACAAAAAACAATCGCGCGCGACCACCAGCGAATTTTATTGTTCGGTAAGGGGAAGGGTGGATCGCAGCGTGTCAAGGCATGTGGGATGGAAGGCACGGAAGCCTGGACCACGGGGTCAGCCTTACAGGGGTTGCTGTGGTTGTCGCCACATATTTACGCCACACTAGACGTCACCTCTATTATCCTACGGCGAATCAATCACTTCTCAGCTCTAAGTCGCACACCCATGTATCGGCACATGTGCAAGGGACGAGCAATACAAGAGTATACCCATTTTTATTTGTTTTGCTGCTTGTTTTTCAAGTCGTTTTTTGTCCCTTTTGAGGGGTTTTCCTTTCTTTTTTCCTTTTTTTTCCCCCAGGTTGTTTCTTTTTTTGTTCATCTTCCATGTATCTCCAAGCAGCACAAACACGCAGGCAGGCTAACACAGGCAACCCAAACAAACGCCTTTACTCCTCACTCAGCCAGTAAAAGACAGTCATCGCTCAGATAATATCGACCTTGTGGACCTCTGTCCACTCCTTCTCCACCCGGGGGACCGTGATGGAGAGCACGCCGTCCTCGAGGCGCGCAGTGATGCCCTTCGTGTCGACGTCCTCCTTGCCGGTCGGGGCCGACGAGGGGGGAGGCAGGCGCACCTCCCGCTTGAACAGCCCCATCTTCCGCTCGGAGCTGACGAGACCGCGCTGGAACGCCTCGTCCCCAGGCCGGTAGACGACGCCCGAGATGGCGAGCACGCCCCGCTCCGCCTGCCAGTGGATGCCGACGTCCTCCTTCTTGGCGCCGGGGACGGCGACGTGCACGACCCAGGAGCCGCTCGGCCCGGCCTCGGTCTCGAAGATGTCGACCGGGGGCGTGAAGTACTCCAGGTCGTCGCCACCGCCGTTGTTGTTGTTGCTGTCGTCGCCGTCCGTGTTGTCGGGCGCGCCCGTGTCGTTCTCGCCCATCGCTACCGAGGGGCCGTCGCCGCGTGGGGCGCCGCTCAGGGACTGTATGTATCGGCCGACGTGCTGGTGTGCCGCCATGGCCGCCGCCGCAAGGGCCTGCTGGAAGGCCTGTTGGGGCTCGGCACCCCGTCCGAAAGCTGTGTGCATCTCATGGGAGCCGAATCCGAAGCCCCCGCGGCGTCCGCATCCCCGACCACCGCGGCCCCGTCCGCCAAATGGAGGCCCGTGGAAGGGTCCACCAAAGTGGCCGCCAAATAGGCCACCAAACGGCCCGCCGAATGGTCCGCCACGCGGCCCACCATGCGGCCCGCCGGGTCCGGGGTGTCCATGGTGGGGAGGGCCATGAGGGCCGGGAGGGCCATGATGACCATGAGGACCACGCGGGCCATGGCGGCCGTGACGTCCGTGACGGCAGCCCCGAGCTCCGCCGGCTGGCTTCTCGCCCTGTTTGTCACCGGCCTTCTCAGGCTCGGCCGCGTCGCTGGCCGCGTCGGGCGAGCCCTCCTTCTCCCCAGAGTCAACGACCCCCTCCATGTTCGCGCCGCCCTCGCCCCCAGAGACGGGGGGCACCTTTGCATCCAGGCCTGGGGTGGCGCCGGAAGCCTGCGACTCCTCGTCGGAGCTGCACTCGTCGCGGCTGAACGAGCCCCGTCTGCCCCTGGGGTCCCATGGCCCATGGGGCCCGAATGCGACGCCGTCGGCGCCCGGTCCGAACCGGAAGGGGAACGGGCCGTGAAGGTCAATGTGGTCGGTTCCGCCGCCCGGCCGCCCGGGCAGGGATCCCGGGAAAGCCCAGAAGTCGTGGGCCTGGGGGCCCGCTGCTGGATTCGTTTGTTGATTCCACTCCATTGTTGCAGTGGTTGAGCTTGCGTGCAAAGGTTGTAGTGGGGTGGTTCTTGTGTAGGTGGTTGTTGTTGGTGGTGGTGGTGGTGGTGGTGATGTGTGTGTGTGTGTGTGTTATAGGCAGGTAGGTAGGTAGGTAGGTAGGTAGGTAGGTAAGAATAAGACTTGTCGGTGGAGATCTAGGAGAATCAAGTGGTCCAGGGAAGCAGATAGAGGTGGTATATATAGGCACTCTCGCATTCAGCTAGCTAGGGCTGTAGATACCCAAGTATCTAGGTAGGCAGCTGTTCCACGGCGAGGCAACCAACACAGTACGTCCTCCAGGTGTCGTCACCCGGGTCTGGATGCGCGGCATGAGCAGAATCGCCACGGGACATGGATGTCAGGAGAGACTGTTCCCAGCCAGGCAGCCCACCCGGCGTGGCTCGCACAGGGAGTACAGAGCTGGTGGTGGCGACGTATGAGGCGCCAGGCCACCTACCTAGGCAGGGACTCGGATGGCGGCCGACGCGCGGACAGCACGTGTAAGTCGGAGCTCGGAGCCAGCAACCCCCGCGATGCTGGTTGAGTCACAATTGCACGGGTCCGGCTCCAGCTCAGGGCCAAAGCCGCGCGGCTTCGGCCTTCGGCTCTCACTGTGTACGGGTTCGATGACCTTCGGCCGGTCGGCTTCGGCCGAATTGGCTTGAGCCGTTCGACCTTGTCGGCACCAAACATGCTGAGCATCCGGCTTTTAGAATCGGCGATACAAAACTCGACGCAGGCCTTCCCACTCCTTGAGCTCTCAAATATGGCGTGACTTCGATCCTTTTGGTCTACCAGGCATGTCTTGCAAAAGGGAGATCGAGCGGTGGCAAAGTCGATGGATGGTGGGGTACAGGTCGCCCCTTTGCCATTGCACAAACATACACCTATCACAATTCAGGGCACCAACCTGGAGCTCGCAATCCTTGACAACACCCAGGGCTGTCCTGAGTTGGTGCCTAGACAGCCACGCAACTGTCGAAATGGATGTCTCGGGATGGGATGAACAAACTCCATCGGACATACCTATATTATATGTGTATCATCGGTTCCATCCGCCTATAGGGATGCTGCGATAGGAAAAAAAAGATAAGAAACACGGGCAAGAATCTCAAGAGTGAGTATTATCCAAAGAGGATGGAGGATATCAAAAAAAAAAAAAAAAAAAGGAAATAGGGAAGAAACAAGGGCGCTTTCCTCCCACCAGAAAATCAGTGCTAATAACACGACAAATGCCACCCTATTCAGCCTGGCCATACCCGCCTTGACTATTACAACGCCACGATGCGTTTGTCATAACTATGCTGTGACATGTCTCGGAGTCCATCATGCCGCGTCACAGAGCCTCCTCTTGTCATGACCCAGCGCTGGCATCTGCCTCGCCTTCTGCCTTGGCAGTCTCCATCGCCACGTCGATGTTGTCCTCCACTTCTTTCCCAATTTCCTTTTCTGCCTTGTCCTGCCCCAGCCCTTGCAACAGAAGCTTCCTTTCGGCCTCCTCGGCCCGCCGTGTTGCCTCAGCCACTTCCTGCTTCAACAGCTTGATGTACTCGATTGCCATTTCGACTGTGCTCGCTTTACTGTTGGGCCCGCCGGCCCCTCCTTGCTTGTCGCCCTTTTTCCCGCCGTCGCCGTCCCCACCGTCCCCATCGTCGGGCCCCTTGCATGCACCGTCATCCCCGCCACCGGGGTTGGGAACCGAAGCGGGCAGCAGAGTAGCAATCTCTTGGAGAGCCGAGTTGATCCTGTTGCGCCTGCCCTGCTCCGCTATCTTGTGTGACGTCCGCTTTGATGTCAGGTTCGTCGAGAGTGATGTTGGATAAGACACGCCCGGCACGTGAATACCCTCGAGTATGTTCTGGTAGTTGGATTTGGACGCCAGCAGCTTCGATGCTGCGTCCTCGGCGCTAGTACCGCCTGGAAGCAGCGGTTTGATATTTGGCGAGATTCGTGGTCTCAAGGCTGGGGACACATGCGATGAGCTGACACTGCCTCGCTTTTTGCTGCCCCTGGGACCCAACTGTGGTGTTCTGCGTGCCATCGTGGCCGACGCCGGTGCCGGCGTCCCGGCTGCCGAGCTGGAAACTTGTCCGGTAAGCTGTGGGCTTTGTGTCGCCAATGCTGGCGCTCCGGGCTTGGCAAAGTTGGGAGACAACAGCGGCTGGAACGGAGCTGTCTTGGCTGAGCTCGGCTCCAGAGAGGGGGATGCGGAAGGACTCTGTGTCACCAGTAGTGGCCCTCGGGGCTTCTGCTGGAAGTTGACCGACTCCGGGAGTTCAAAGTTCTCAATGGTTTCGTGGGGCATCGAGTCTGTGAGGCCCGATACAGCGGCCAGGCTACTTTTGGGCGACGTCAGTCTCATGAGAGAGGCCGGCGTTGCCGGTGACAGCTTCCCTTGTCCCTGCAACGACGCCACAGCCGACCGTGGTGCGGCGTTTTGGGGCCTGATAAAGGGGGACGGTCGTGCAGAACGCGGCTTCGGGATTGGCGGCGGGGGCATCTCGGACAGCGTCTCTGGCGAGACAGAGCCGTTCTCCGAGTCCGTAGCCTCGACTGGCGACGAACCTGGGCCGTGCGGGGCTGGGGGTGGGAGAAGCTGATGGCCCGAATCCTGACCGTGCTCTAGCGCCTCGGCCAGCTCGCTCAGGGCCTGCGAGTTGATGATGGGTGTGGTCTGCGTCTTTTTCCTCTGTGGTTTTGTGATCGGTGACTGCCGCACACATGTCTTGCCCCGAGCCTTGGTCCCTGTGGTTTTCCTAGGCTTTTTGCTTGCCTCGCTTGGAGCTGTCGGATTGGGTGCCGTCGGTGTGGGTGTCTCAAGGTCCATGTCGCCTGGCGAGTTGTTATTATTGCTGTTGCTGTTACTACTATCATTATGGTTCGCGCGGGACATGTGGTCGAATATGACCGAGGAACCTTCGGCCTGTGCGTGGAGAGAAGGAGACGCCAAGGGACTGAAATATGCCCCAGGTATGGTGAACTGTGTGTCCATCGGGAACTGTGCCTCAAGAGGCGTTACGGCCGGAGAAACGAGCGGCGTGAATGCCATCTGTGGTTTGCGTAGAGGGTCAGTCAAACCATGGCAGGGGACAGAGATTGGGGGGTAGGGGAGCTTTTCTCGCCCGCGCAACTGAAAACTGACATCTTGCTGGTCGGCGCCCATGCGCTGATACCGCTCATACATGCCCTGCTGGGGTGTGTGGTCCGGCTGGGTGTAGAAGCGGCTTCTTGCTTGGAGATCAAGACTCTGGGGCGTGGGGGGTACCATGCGACTCCGTTGTGCGGCGAAATAGGCGGCCTGCTCCTCGAGCTGGCGCTGCTGCTGTTGCATGCGCTGCTGCTGCAGGAAGACGATCTTGGCGTCGATATCATTGATGGCCTCACTCGGCGTGGGCGGGGCATGCGACGTTGGAGGCAAGGACACCATGGCGGCAGGAAGGGTCACCATGGAGTTGATGGAGGCGTGTGCCGGAGCCGACGTCATGGCCATGGGCCTCATGGGCGCCGAGTGGTGGAGCGGGTGCTCTGGTCGCGCCGACACAAGAGACGGCATGTCGGTGCCGCTCATCGGGGTGTCTAGGTGTTCGGCCCGGGGCTGGGACCGCTGTAGGATGGGCGCATTGGCGGTGTGCTGGAACTCTTGGAAGTCGTGGAAGTCAAACTGGAGGGGATCGCCCAGGCCGCCGATTGCGTTCATGTCGAGGTATTGCTGGAAGTCGTCGACTGGGCTGGTCTGCATCTGGCCCTCCTGGCCATCCCAGGCGGCGGCGGAGCCCATTATGGACATTGCGCGCGCCGTCGCTGGTTTGCCTCTGACCTAGATGCGCGCACGAATAGAAGGCTATCGCTGTATTGTCGGTCAAGCGGGACGGGTTTGGTGGTGGGTTTGCGCGGCCGCTGGTCCTGGAGAGAGTGATTGTGCCCGCCCGCGGTATGAATTCGATGGCATGTGCTTCGAGACTGGCCCTGGTGATTCCCTTCCCATTCCCTTGTGCCTTCTCCTATTCTCGATTCCTCCTCTTCGCGAATACTTCCTTCCTCTTTCCCTTTAGTCAATTCCCACGTAGGCTATGATGTTAAAATATGGTTCGATGGCGGCGTAAATTTTGAATTTGACAGGTTGGGACAACGTCCAAAAAAAAAAAAGATAGGATACCAACCCAAAAAGCTGGTAGCAGCAGTGGTGGTGGTGGTGGGGCGTCTCGGTTGGAAACGGCGGCTGGTCGGGGCGAGGTTAGGTCGATCAAGGGTTGACTAAAAACGAGTGCTAAAACAAATCTTCCACGGAAATCGTCGTTTGGTGGCAGTCTGGCCGCAGGTGGCCGGAGCCGCTGCTCAAAACCGGAATGATGGGTGGGCTCGATATCATGCTGGGGCGGAGGCGCTCAACACATGCATACCCCAGTGAACCGGGGAGGGCGATGGACTGAAGAGAACTGGTCGTTCAGCGGTGTCGCTTCCTCGCCCAGTCGGGGCCCACGGAAAAATATGCGCGCGCGCGCCCACTTGCGCACGCTTCGGGTAGGCAGGTGGGACGGAAGGCCCTCCCTGATGGACGAGGGTTGGAGATGTGGTATATGTGAGGAAGCGAGATGTATAGAGGTTGACGTAGATATGCTGCAGAAAAAGACGCAAGAGAAGCAACCACAGGCTGCAGAGCTCCGTTGAATTGTCGAGCGCAAAGGGGAACAGCGACAGCGGCCGATTGGACTGATCTCTTCGATGACAAAAGGTGGGGTAAATCAAGCACCTGGCCCACGACCCACGCCTCCCGTGTCGCTTGGTTCCAGCTCTGGCGGACGCATGCATGTCTGGTGGTGCATGTGGGCATCATAAGGACCACACCCTCTCCGCTGGCTGAAATCGTTTAATGCACCAGCTGCTGCTGTTCCAGAGGGATTGGATATTGATATGGGGGGCACTGAGGGCCACCTTTGCATATGTCGCTGAAAGCATCTCGGGGTAAAGACGTCAGAACTTTGCGGGTTGAGAATAGACCCAGCCCCAATTGACCGGCGCGTGTACAGGTCCCAGGGATGACAAACCTTAGTGCGGTGGATGCAATATATATTTTTTTTTCGTTGGAAAACCAAGCCAAACTGATGTACCACCAGGATCCACTTTACTAAGGTTTGTGATCCCTGGGACCTGTACGTTAACCCTTTGGCCCAGCCGTCACCAGTCTCCACGCGTGGGGTCTTTACAAACCTAAGCCGCGCACGCAATAGACCCCAGTTGCTCCATAGCGTGGGCATCCCTTGCCAAGCACGGAGCAGGCCATCATTCGCCATCGCTTGCGGGGGGCCGTCCTTGGGGTTTTGTGTGGCTATCTCGAGTCAAATGCAATGAGAGTGCCTAAAACCCTGAGGATACGGTAAGAAACAGACGACATAGCAGATCTTGGTTGAGGATCGACATAAGAAAAGATGGTGCAATAGTAGCCAGGTTTTGGTAATACACTAAGAAATGTTCTTTGTTTTAGGTTTTGTTTATCTTGGCTGGCCGCGCTCGAGCTGCGGGTTACGATGCTGGATGGCATCGAACGAGAGGTAATACGTTGCTTGTCAAATGCCCACACGAGACATGCCTCGATTGGCCGCGATAACCTACAGTATAGCCGCTAGAATGGCCTACCCCCTTTTGTTCCCGTGGGGTCGAACGCGTTCTCGTTCCCGAGCAAACTAGCCTACTACCACCGTACTTCGCCAACTCTGACACGTCAGAGTCGCAAAGACATAATAGAAATTAACACCAACAACAGCCACCGAGCTAACAAGAAGGAAAGTCCGATGAGGAGGAAGACCCAAAGTTAAGTCAGAAGAAAAAAAAGGCCTGAATGTGGGATGAGATGAATGGTAAGAAGTAAACAAAGAAGAAATGATACAATAAATAGGAAAAAAGGTACGGGTTAAATGAGACATGGGGATAGGTTGGTATCATGAAGTGACCGGCAGTATGGTGACCTTGCCGTGGCTGAGTCTAATTTTACACGAATATATCTCCAGAGATGTCCGGGTGTATGTGCACAAGAAGAATGAAAGTAGTGGTAAAGGAAGCGAAATGTGGACAGACAAGAGGCTACCTGAGACAGACGAAGAGAACAAGGTTTGCGCCGATCCATGCCGGCTGATGCGTATGAACAAGAAAATAAATTGCATGGTCTAGTGCCAGGCACATAGACGGGTGTTTGTTGTGACGTGGCCATGTGCCTAGAGGGCGAGGCTGTCTGGAGTCGGTGCGAGTCGGTACTTGAAAATCGTGACAGGCGATCCAAAGAGTAGAAGTGGTCGCGGGTGAATGGTGGCGAAAGAGGTATTAAGCGAAAGGCGTGAATCCGTCAAGTCAGGTCGCATGATCTTTAGTAAAAGCCATGATGCTGAGAGGCCTGCCTAGGCTTTTGGATCCCTCCCACAAGGCGTGGAGGGGAAGTATAGGTCGGAGCGAGACAAGGAACAGCAGGTCGCGGTCATGGGCTATGCGCGGCGGTTGTCACCCAGGTTGAGCCAGCTCATGTCGGAGCTGGTCGAGGCCATAGCCAGCTGCGGCTGCGAGCTCACTCCAGTCGGCAATGGCGGTGGCCTCAGTGCGTCGGAGCCCATGGCCGGCGGGGGTGCCGTGCTGTAGACGCTGGTGTAGGCGCTGCTCGGCGCAAGGACCGAGCCCCATGGCTTGCTGCCACCCGTCGCGTCCCATTGCTCATGGACGCTAGCCGGGATTCCGGAGGAATAGCCCGAGCTTCCTGACTCTTGGCTCATGGGCCGCTCTATCCTGCCCTGCATCTCCTTATGAGGTGTGTAATGGGAGATGGTCGGCGAGCCGGAGTTGACACGATTGAATTCGGGCTTGGGTCCTGAGAGGTGACCCACGTTGAGGTGCGGTACCGTAGCCGAGTCCTGGGTGATCCTGCTCGCGGCCGCATTCGAGCTAGAGTATCGGCTGCTGGCCTCCGAAGTGCGCTTGCTGGCACCATTGCCAAAGCCCAGTATGTTGAGCGTGCTGCCTCCAGACCAGTATCGATTCCATCCCGATGATCGCCGGGGACCCTCTGGGCCGTCCGGCTTGTTAATTCGTGGCTTTGGCTCCGCGACATCCCCGCTGAATGCCACGCCCTTTTCATACATGGGCAGAGGCGTTCGGATCGGTGAAGTGGGGTCTGCGAAGGGATTCGGATCCGCGAAGGGGTTCGCATCTTGGGTCTGAGGTATCGGCTTGCTGATGGACTTCTTGAAAGCTGAGTTGAGAATACTGCCGGAAGAGTTGCGCTTGGAGTCCTTGCTTGGCTGGCGTTCTATAGCCGTCTGCTTCTGTCCATGGGCCTTGCCCATGAGAATGGCCATGGATGAGAAAGACGCGTGCGAGTCCTGGTGTTGATGGCCCCTGAACACGCCATTGGTCGGGGTGGGCAGGCTATCATTGGCGTATCCGATACCTCCTTTCTCGGCCGAGGTTGCTCCACTTGCCCGGCGCGCGTGGCCTGCCTCGAGAAACTCTTGACGCTGCTTCTTGCGCCTTAGCAAACAGTACAGAATTCCAAGCAGCAGGAGAACCATTGCGGTCGTGCCAAGCACGGCCCCCAGGATAGCATTGATAGGCGGGTTCGACGAGGATGATTGAGCAGACGAGTCAGCCCCGGCTCCCACAGGGGCAGCCGCGCCGGTCGGTGTGGATGTTGCAGATGACGCAGGTGATGTTGTTAGAGAGGTAGGCGACATGGAGGAGCTGGCGAGAGTGCTAGATGACGACACGGTCGACGTCGCGGTGGCACTGGGGGTGGTAGATAGAGACGATGAAGTAAAGTCTGTGGTTTGGGAGGTGTCTTCAGCAACGTTGAACAGAACCGAGGCGTCCAACCACTTGTTTTCCCGACCGTCGAACACGCAAAGCGCGTCCACGTCGCTGCCGCCTGCAACGATAACCCGGCCGTTGGCATCTTGAGCAACAGTGTAGTTGGTCCTTGTGGCCTTGGGGGCATTCGTCGCGTTGTACTTGGGCCACTGGTCGGATGTGAGCCTCTTCTCAAGAAGACCATTGACCGGCTCGATATCATCAAAGGACCTGGCAGTGACTGGCAGTGACTTGGCCACAGGTTTCTTCTGGCCGTTGATTAAAACAGTGCGCGTGACCTGGTTCGGCGATTGAGACATGTCGAACGTGTACAGGCTCTTGCTGCCATCATCCCCGGTGACAACCACCGCGCGGACGGCTGAGTTCAAGGGCGTTGCCAGCGATGCTCCCGAGTCCATCCAGCCAGTCTCTGTGCTGAACAGCATGACCTGATTATTCGAGTCGCTACCCCCAATGAGGGCGGCCTCACGGTCGGACCATGGGAGGATAATCGGGTTCGTTGCGGGCGGGGGGCCAGTGAAAGGCTTCGAGAGAACATCGTAGGGCGCCGAGGCGCCGACCGTGAAAGTCTGCGTTGAGGAGTGCTTGGATCCGTCCTGGGTGCCGGCGTAAACGAGGATCGCATCGGTGCTGTTAATGTATGCGGCGCCATGCCACATCCTATTCTTGACATCGCCAGACGTGGGAGCAAAGGTCTCCCATTTCCCCGTCGAGTAGGTGAATTTCTGAAGACCCTGGTAGTCGTCCGGGCCTTTGCCACCGACCACAAAGAATCCGGGCTCTCGCGGAGCGACAGGAGTCGAGCCGACGCAAGCGGCACCAGTGACAGACACGCCACTTGTCAATTTCTTCCACTCTGCCCCGGGCTCGAGGGCCAAGGACTGGAAGGCGCCGGCCGAGTAAGTGTACAAAGTGTTGTTGTACACGACGGAGCAGACGTCCGTCAAAGGGACAGGAGGCCGAGGAACCGGCATCTTGGGCCTCTCGATTCCGCCGTCGTGTCGCAGGCGTCAAAAACGTAAAGTCGAGTGTTGTTGGGTCGAGATACAGCAGCGAAGACGCGAGCGCGGGATGCGTCAACCAATGGGCTGGTAGATCACTGCAACAACATGTCTCTGATGGTGCGGATGGAAAGGAATGTGAGGCAAAACAAACGAGGGTTCGCGATGAGGAGAATAAAAGCGGAGGGTCCGCAGCCAAATCCAGCAGCAACAAAGACAGAGAGAACAAAGAAGGTTAGTGAGAAAGGGGACAGAGATGGGCAAGCTCTCCGAGTGCTATTCTCAGCTCGATCTCACACCAGAGTAGGTCGAAAGCGGCGATAGAGTCGCTCAACACAGTTGGCCGTTGGAAAGAAAGGGAAAGGGCTTGAATGGGGTAAGGCCCGGCAAACGAGAGAGACAGAGAGATAGAGTGTGTGTGGCGGAGTGAGAGGCGGGAAGGAAAATCACTAGGCTGAAAATGCCCAATGCGAGTCCTGCCCCCTGGTCAAGGTGGTGTGAAGGGTGATCAGCCAGGCACCGTTTAGTCAGGATGTTTCTTCGGGGGGGAAGAGGAGGAAAGGGTGGAAACCCACTCAAAAGCCGAGTGAGGGTGAGGGTGGTGGAGGAAACGGGGCTGTCGCAGAAGGTGGTTGAAGCGGAGCTGGACGGGGTGCGCGATGATACTGGGCGACCTGGGGCCTGTTTCCACCCAAGCCCTCGCTGCGTCGGGTGCCCGCGATGGTCCCCTGTCCCCTGGTCGCTTCTCGGAGCTGAGGTATTAAGGAGGAATCCTAGGGTTCCTAGCCGGTTTTGCTGGAATTGGGGGCGCGGCGCAGGCCATGAGAGAAAGGCTGGTGTCCGTTTTGACGCGCTCGTCGCGCGGATTGCCACACCGCGCCGAGTCGCCCTGTTCGATGGCAGATTGCAGATTGCGTCCGGCACACGAACTGGGCGGTTCGGTCACGACATCTGGCCGGAGCCTGGGGAAAGGCGAAGGCTACCAGATCATGAGAGGGCGCTCTCTCGCCCGCGGTTGGTGTTTCCCCCTGGTCGAGTGACACGCAAAGAAGTGGAGCAGCTCGTGCCTGTGGGTCAACGACCCAATGGGGTCCGCTTGTTTCCTGTTTTTGACGACCAGCTCGACTTTCTTCGATTTTTTCTTTTGGATCTCTTTCCATCTTCTAAGCCGAGCCAGGAGGTCATGCGAGGTACCAGGTACTGGACGCCAAGAAGGTACCCAGGGTTAGCAGGCCAGCCGCGGCGGGACCAAGTTCCCCTGACATTGACGGTACTTTGGACAGCCAATCAGCACCGCAATCGGAGTGGATTGGTGGGACCAGCAGATCTGCGTAGTGTGGTGTGTGCAATCCTGCAGCGTGTCTGCGTGTGTGCAGCGTGGTGCAGGTGCAGCTCGGGTGGCTGAATTCAATTCGAATTGGATCAATGGCCGGGGGAAAAGGTGCCCGCCCCCATCCCGCTCTCGGACACGCAAACGGTTGAGTGGACAGAAGGAGATGATATGCTATGCAAGTCGCACACGACCTCGTATTCCCGCCGTCGAGCGGCACCGAATTCTTCCTCCTCCCCTTCCTTCACCTGCGCACCTCACTTTCGTTTGCTGCTTTGCCATCTGCCCACCTTGCCAGCCGCGCGAGAGAAACAGATCTGATCATCTGGTATGTCGTCCGGAATTCCCGCTCCCGTGCTCGTCTAAAGTCTCGCTGCGGAGACTGTGTGAGGACGGACGAGCTGTCGTTCGGGCCCGTGCAGGCAACATGCCCGCTTCTCCCTCTCCTTCGCGGCTGACAAAGAAGAAGAAAAAAAGAGATGGAAGGGCGTTGCGCCGCCAGCGCCTAGACCCCACCCGCGCGAGCGGTGCCTGAGGCCTGAGCTGTATGTGGCTGGCCGGCGTGAGGTGGTACCTGACTGGGCGCTGCGATATGGTGTGTCTTTAAATGAAACGGTCGCCTCTCCTCTGGGTGGGCCCCCTTGGGGCCACAGTCCGCGGTTAGACCCCTTTCTGAGCGTTTCCGTGCCTGCATCTTTTTGCGCGCCATCCAATCATAAGGCCGTGGCTGCCGTTTGCTCAATCACATCGCCGTGCCTCCCCACTCCCACCTCCCACTAGCGTCCATCATCGATAGGACCCCAAGCCTTTCCGTCCTTTTCTGGGCCGGGGAAACCCAATCTGCAGCAGATGATGTTTTCGAGAGCACAGCCAACGCGGTAGCGCCCAGTATGATGTCACGTATGCGCGATGCCGGGTGCGCTACTTTCATTTCCATCGCTCGATTTTTTTGCTTTCTCTCCCCACAAGCCACCCGGGCCGCTACATACACTGACCTGCGCCGCACGTGCCTACGAGGTGGTAGGTAGGTGGTGCCCGCCTCCCGAATCAAGATCAACGGCGGAGCCTAATGTCACGTCTAGACGAGTTGCATTGTTGTATGTTGCAATGTTGTACCGGTCCTGGTGCCCGCCTCCCAACATTTCGTTTACTGGGAGAGAACAGAGAGGCTCTGCCGCACCAGCCCCCACCAGCACCAGGGTAGTGGATTCATTATCGCGATTTTCGATATATGCGGAATCACGGCGCTAGACGCTATGGGGGCCGGTGGCCGCGAGCGTAAAATAACAGGATGCGGCGTCTGCCACGGCTGTTGGAAAGGCACGGGCTTATCAACGCTGAATGTGCGACTCTACCTGTCTGTGAGTTTCTCCCACCCTTTCAGGGTGGCGGAATCTTAAAATATCGACGCTTCAAACGACGCCTTGGTAGGTTCATGGACTGACGGGCGATCAAAATGAGCCTGCCACCAACGATGACGGCGGTAGGGTGGCTAGCAAAGTTCGAGGGCCGCGGTGGCTCCCTATAGGTTCGCCAAGCGTACACAATGCCCAATCACCATACACCCTCTCATCTCATGCCCTTGACGATAAGGTTCACTCGGAAAGGATGACAGGCGAGTAGTAACAGGACAAAGTCGCCTGTACCCTGCAAGATGGCGGGCGGCAGGCAGCCGGCATCACGTAGTATCGTTTTCAGCCGCCGGCCATTGAGCTGTCGCTAGTGTATGGCCGTTCGAGGGGGGAAAGGGCAAAAAGCTGCCGCTGGGTCACGATCAGAGGGATCGTCTCGCGACAGCCACTAGCCAAACGTTGTCGGCGCTTCATCAACTCTGTTCCGCTTGGCCTAGTGCCTACCACTAGGCCGCGTGTCTAATTATTGGTTGTGGTTGAGGAGGGGGTATCACGTGTCTGGTTTGTCGGCGGCTACAGTTATGGCCGACGGCGGCTCGTGAACGAAACCCGCGAGTCTGGTTCCGTAAGCCGATAATACAGATAGCTTGACGTGCGCCGTATATAGTTATCGTGGCATGGTGTTGCCTGCATATAAGTGAAGGCCGCGCTCTCTTGGGATCGGTCCCATACGCTTCAGCTTCAGGCCCTTTGCGAGATGTTGAAGCCTGCCCCTAGCCGTTTATGACCGGGGAACCTTTCTCTACTAAGTACATGCCAAGGTGGTCGTGGCTCGGGCTTGATTAAAGATGCCATAGAGAGGACTGGCTGGGGAAATATGAATCCTCAAGTCATGCTATTCGAAACACATCCGCTTTTCGTCGACACAGCCTAGCCGATGTATGCTAAGCAGCCCTGGAGGTGTATCTCGGGTCCCGTCCCGTCATCGTGAAGCCGCTAGTCTAGGGAGGTTGAAAAAGGTAGAGAGAAATTCGCAAGTGCCTAAGTCGACAGCAAGGGTAGAAAAAGAAAGAGGAAGGACACCAACTCAGAAGACCCCGCGACCCCGTCAACCATATGAACTCCTTGAACGCCATACATCGATGTCTCATACACGTTATGAGAATGCAACCTATCCTTGCCATATCCTGATTTGTGATGGGGAGCGCATGTGTAGAGAGAAAAAAAGGACAAGCAAAACAAAGCCCCATAGAGAAACAGCGATGCCGTGTGGAGGCCTGATCATCGTCAGACCGGCTTTGCCTGTCCCTCTTTGTGCTCATCGCTGTCTTTATTTCTCACACCTCTTTCCTTGTCGGGCTATTTCTTGTTTTATTCCCCATCATATCCAGTTCGACGCCCCATAATTGGACCTTCCTTCTCGTTTTCTCTGTTGTTTGGGCTCCCTCTGATGTCATCCCGGACGGCGACTAGGGAGCCGGCATTCCGTTTATAAAGGCCTCGGGACCGAGATTCGGCTATCAACAGGTTAGCAATGGCTTCATAGTTGTGGTGTGAGGATAGAGGGAGGATAGGAAGGTGATTTTTATGGCAGGGAGTTTGAGGGGTCTTACCCTTGTTTCTTGGAATTTGACTAGGGCGGCTTCCAGGTTCCAGCCGACTTGGTCCAGACACATCTCGGAGTACTGAGCTGTCATGTTGGTGCGCTGCGATAGCTCTGCAACTAGCTGCTGCCGTTGTTGTTGCTGCTGGTCAACGGGAGCCGCCTCGACTGGCACGGGCGCTTGAGCAACGGGAATGGGGTTCCAGGCTCTGAGAGAGAGCATATCGCTGACGACGCGGACAGGGTTGCCACCTGGTGGTCCAGGACCCAGAACGAACGTCCTGGAGAAGCTCCGTTTGCCGACCTTGGAGCTGCCAGAGTCGCCCTCTTCGAACTCGCCATGGATGTTGATGAGGAGCCCGTCCACACCGTGGGGGCTTTGGCCGCTGGGATCCGCAAGCGCTGGCAACGGGTGGCAGTCGACCAGGTACTTGGTAAAATCGGCCCTCAGGTCAGGATGCCTCGTAGATGGTAGTACCTTCCACATCTCCTGGATGGTCTGGCGGCCCTTCATGAGACGTTGGACGCGTGGTCCTGGGTGCGTGATCCTCACAAGATTCCGGGAGTACTTGAGATATGGCTGCCATGGAAGAACGGGCTCGTCGACGTCGCGCGGCGCGTGGTTGACAACCGACACGGAGAAGTTGCTCCTGTCGTCGTAGAACATGTTGGCCAGGCCAGCCCTGTCGCTGTCGAACAGGGGTAGGAATTGCATAAGGAAATCCTCGCCGATTCTACCAGCGTCGCGGAAATCCGGGCCGTGCTGAGGAATCGGAACAGGCCGCGCGGCGGCCTTCGCGGCCTCGGCAGCCGCGATCTCTTCGGGTGTCCGCACCTGGATGTTGCTCAGGTTCTGTAGCTTGGGGAACCACTTGACCAGCTCCTCCTTGTGGGTGGGCTCGACAGACTCGATCGGGTTGCCGTTGAGGAGGAGTGTCTCCAGGTGTTGAAAGTGGTGGTTCCATCTTGCCATAGATTTGACTGTCTGGAGCATGTTACCGCTGCAGTCGAGATGCTTCAGATCGGGGAAAGTGATGGCGATATCAAAGACTTGGGCGACGTGGTCGATGGAGTTGTTGGCGACGGTTATGCTTTCGACCGCGGCGCGTCTCTTGTCGGCGGTTGGGAATATGTCCTCGCTGATTGCCATGAGCGCCTTGAACGTCTTCTCGGCCCGCTCTTTATCCTGGAACGCTCCCATCTCTGCGAGGACCGGATCCAGGCCGATAGCCGACAGATCCAGCAGCTTCCTGTCTGCAGTGTACCGCCGCTCGAGGAAGTCCCCTAGTCGTGATCGGAGGTCCTGGGTCTCCTGGCTGGTTTGGACCGGGCTGTGGGACTTTGAGTCTCCAGGCCAGCCGTCCTGGCTCTCGGTTATAGCGAGATTGGATCCGGCGAAAAGCCAACCATTCAGCTTCAAGACATCCTCAGCATCCTCCTTGCTAAGGAGGATGTAAAGGGTGAGGTCGGAGGCCAGGTGTGACTGGGGTGTTGGGTTAGCAACTTGTCGAGTTCTCCTCCGTCGGGAGGTCTTGGAGAACGCGGCCATCTGGTGTCGTCTGCCATCACGCCCTCGTGATCGGTATCCGACGACTACTAAGCCTCAGCGAGGATAGGTTGGATATCAGGGCGATGGAGCGAGCCCATATGCGTTGTTATTTTGGCGTGATGTACGTACCTTTTTGACGATTATTCGGCGGGAGTTGAAATTGGCTGCCTTGCGCTCCAGGAAGTCCAGCGCATTCTTGACACCCTTGTCTGCATTGGTGGACGCCTTGCTGCCCTTGATCCCGACAACCTTCAGGACAGACGTGGGCCCCGACCCCCTTCGCTGAGCTGACGATATGCGGGTTGATAGATCAGAGCCGGCATTCAGGTGGCGGAGGATCTTGTCCTGAGCGGCGATGACGGCCCTCGTTGCTGCTCCACCGCCGCCACCACGGGCGGCAGGGCGGCCCCTTGCCGGGCGATTGTGGGGATTGTTGGCGTTGCGCTTCCCAATGCCGTTGGCTCTGCCCGGCGCCGACGCGTCCATGACGAGGTCTCCGTCGCGGTCAACACGTCCAGCTCCGCCGCCGCGGCGTTTCTGGATGCCGCCTCGAGCTGCGCCCCGCGCACCGCGGGCCGGGCCTGTGGGTGGGACGGTAGCCATCTTGTCGATGTAGAAGACCGGCCCTATCTTCGCAGGCGGTGGCTCCTCAGGTTAGTTTGCTGGTCGGGTTTCAGGCTAGCCCTTGCTCCCGGTGGGGTAGGATTAGGCGTAGACAAGAATCGACCGTGGGTATGGCTTTAGACGGGAGGGGGTTATCGCTACGCTGCCAGTGATGGAGAGAGCGAGGGTTGTTGGAGGGAATGCGAGCAGATCGATGGCTTTGGGGAGGTGAGGTGTTCGGTTGAGGAGCGACGGATAGGTTTGGTTCGATGCGACGGGAGCGGGTGGGCGGCAAGGCGCAGCGCGGCCTTTTTGGATGGCAGTGATGTGCACACGCTTTCTTTGTGTTGGCCAGCCTCTAAGGGGTGGGATGTGTGACTGTGGTCGGTTGCAGAAACCGGTGGTATCGGTATTGTGGAAGGAACAAAGCAACCAACACCTCACAACCGCTTGCGGCGCAGAAGCTCTTTGGCGGATCGCAAAGAAGTCTAGAGCAGAGTCACGTCAAAAGAGCTGAGGAGAACCCGGAAGGCCGAAAGCTTGACCGATTATGTAAGACCAGGCGCCGGTTGCCGTCACCCCACATCCGCGGCTCGCTGGCGTTCTCGAGTCATAGGAAGGCTCAAGGCAGGCACGTAGGATGGGCTTATGCAGGTGGCCTCACGTGCTCAGGCGCGGTGACATGTCGTGGGCCCCACTTCTGTGCAGGTCCAGACCGCGACGTGCAACGCGTACAGCGAAAGCCAGCGAGGACGAGCTAGAAGGTGGACGACGCCCTGACGAAGAGCATACAAATCCCCGGTGCACTTGTCTTTTTACGGGGAAATCCGGCCTAGGATGAGCTGATTGCTGGTGGTGCATCGTCGCCATCGTCGCTCCGTGAGGATGGATTCGGACTGCGACGCATTTGACGACGATGTTTGCGACGAGGACCTGATGGCGCTGGATAACCTGGCGTGTAATGTGCCACCCGCGGCGGTTCAGCGGCCCAGGCCGACAATCAACTCCCGGCGGCAGCGCCTCCAGGCAGACCCCAAGTCCACGGCAACGGCAGCAGTGGCAGCAGCGGCGTCATCGTCTGCGCGCTCGGGAGGAGGCTTGGACGACCTGGACGGAATCCCGTCTGATGCTTTTGACAGTTCCCCAGAGCCAGCGGTGGCCCCACCGCCGGCAAACAAGCAGCCTCGGGTCTTCCACCAGACCACCCTCTCAGGCCGGCCCCTGGCGGACAGTGGCCCCTCGCAGGCGCAGCGACCCGGCGCCGGGCGGACCTACCGCGGCGACATGCCGGCCGAGCCGCCAACACACCATGAGCTAGACAACGAGGCCCTCAAGACGTGGGTCTACCCCATGAACCTGGGGGCCATCCGTGACTACCAGTTCAGCATCGTTAAGAACGGGCTGTTCAGCAACACCTTGGTGGCACTCCCCACAGGTCTCGGCAAGACCTTCATCGCCGCGACCGTCATGCTGAACTACTACCGCTGGACGCGCAACGCCAAGATTGTCTTCGTTGCTCCCACCAAGCCCCTGGCATCCCAACAGGTGGAAGCATGCCTGAGTATCGCTGGAATTCCGCGCTCGGCGGCCACTCTGCTTACGGGCGAGGTCAAGCCCGCACTGCGCGAGGAAGAGTGGGAGTGCAGGCGGCTCTTCTTTATGACGCCGCAGACGCTCATGAACGACCTCTCAAAGGGATATGCAGACCCCAAGAAGATTGTGCTCCTGGTCGTGGACGAGGCCCACCGCGCCACGGGCGACTACGCCTATGTTAAAGTTATTGACTTTATCCGCCGCTTCTCCAAGAGCTTCCGTGTGCTCGCACTCACCGCCACTCCCGGCTCGACCGTCGAGGGTGTGCAGGCCGTGATCGACAATCTCGGGGTGTCTCACGTCGAGATCAGGACCGAGGAGTCCATCGATATACGGAGCTACGTTCATTCGCGTGAGATTGACCGTGTCGTTCTGGAGCCGTCGGACGAGATGCTGCGGCTGATGGAGCTGTTCTCCCAGGCACTCAAGCCGCTCACGTCCAAGATCAGCCAGGCAAATATATACTACGGCCGCGACCCAACGTCCATCACTACATTCGGTCTTATGAAGGCACGCCAGGACTGGTTCAACGGCCCGGGCCGGCATGCGAACCAGGGCACCAAGATGATGTTGATGGCCATATTTACCATCCTCCAGGGCCTGGCACACGCCATAAAACTACTCAACTTCCACGGCATCAGGCCTTTCTACGAGAATCTAGCCGCTTTTAGGGCTGAGACTGAGGAGAAGGGGCAGAAGGGTTCCAAGTACAAACGCCAGATTCTTGCGGACGCTGGCTTTCAGGAGATGATGGAAATAGCATCGAATTGGTTGAAGCTGCCCGACTTTGTCGGCCATCCCAAGCTGACGCATCTCTGCGACACCCTGCTCAACCATTTCATGGACGCAGGTGAAGGCTCCAACACGCGCGTCATCGTCTTCAGCGAGTACCGAGACAGTGCTGAGGAGATTGTAAGGGTGCTCAACATGCACAAGCCCATGGTCAACGCCTCCCTCTTTGTCGGACAGGCCGACTCCAAGAAGAGCGAGGGCATGAAGCAGAAGCAGCAGATCGAGACGATTGAAAAGTTCAGGAGCGGAACCTTCAACGTCCTTGTCGCCACATCCATTGGCGAGGAAGGACTCGACATTGGCCAGGTCGACCTCATCATATGCTACGATGCCTCGTCGTCGCCCATTCGAATGCTCCAGCGCATGGGGCGGACAGGCCGCAAGAGGGCAGGCAAGATCACGCTGCTTCTCATGAAAGGCAAAGAGGAAGACAAGTACAACCAGGCGCAGGACAACTACGAGAAGATGCAGCACCTCATCTGCGAGGGCAGCAGGTTCAACTTCAGGTACGACCTGTCTTCCAGAATCGTCCCCAGGGACGTGAAGCCCGAGGTCGACAAACGGATCGTCGAGATTCCCGTGGAGAATACCCAGAACACGGCGCCGCCGGAACCAAAGAGCCGGGCCGCTCGTGCCAAGAAGCCCAGCAAGAAGAAATTCAATATGCCCGATGGAGTGGAGACGGGCTTCACATTGGCATCCATGCTCGGCAAGGCGACTGCGGCACCATCGAAGCAGCCTAAGCAGGCAAAGACGGTTCAGAAAGCGGTGGCCCAGAAACCCGCGCTGCCGAAAGAGGAGGACGACCTAACCCCGGTTCCGACGCTTGAGGGCGTTCTTTTGAACAGCACGCAGCTGGCTGAGCTCAACAGGCAGTACAGACACCTCCCGTTTTATCAGAATCACGCCGAGGAGATAAGTATGCCGAGCCTGGCAGCTTACCCGGCACTGCAGCGAACATTACGACCCAGTGTTCATATCAAGCATGGGTCGTATACTAGGCGCTGTGTGAGACTGTTCAAAAGGCTGTCCGAGTCCCGGGGGCAGCCAAACGAAGAGACGGCATCTGACCGCTATATTGACATTCCGGCGCCGCCCTTTGGCGACGAGCCTGGGACGTCCCTGGGCCACAAGCGCGCCTCGCCTCCAGAGCCCTACAACGCTCAACAGCAGGCGCCGAAACGACAGAAACCGACCCCGAAGCCGATCTCGAAGCCAAAGATCAATGCCGTATCGGAATACCTATCTGATGCCGACGACACGCCGCGTCCAGGAGAGTTTAGCGATGACGATATGGCATCATTCATCTCGTACGGCGAGGAGAACGGACAGGCGCAAGACGCACGCGCACCGAGCACAAGCATAGACGATGGCTTCGACCTCACAACAGAGCCCACCCGCAAATCTTCGTCCGGGTTATCGGCATCCGCAGCGCACAGGAGGGGTGCGAAGTTGTCTTCCGCGTCCTCGGTGGCGTCGGCACAGTCTGCTGTTGCGTCCAAGCCCTACTTTGTCCCAGCCGAACTGCCCGGCACCCAGCAGAGCGAAGACGACGACGTGCCGCCCCTCGAGGCGCTCATCGGCGGGAGTACGGGGCGGAAACCAGCCTCGAGAAAAGGCGACACCGCTCACAGAACCAACAGCAGCGGGCAGGACAGCAGCGACGGACAGGTGCGCCAGAACAAACGCAGAGGCCGTAGACCATTCCTGATGGAAAGCGATAGTGAATGAGCAAACCGGAGCGCAGCGAGCATTGCCGGACATGGTTGACATGGGACTACCGGTTTGCCCACGTGCGTATTTAGCGGGGTGGTAGGTATCTACGGAACTAAAAACAAATACAATCCACGGTTTATTGACCTTCAACCTTCTCACCCACCATTGAAGTCTGTATATACCAGATACCCAAGTAGTGAGTGATAAACGGTTCCGCCGGCCTATTGACCGACTAGCTTACCCTCGGGACACGGTTATCTACCCAAGGCAGGCAAATATTATCTAGCCGACGCTTCAGGTCAGCGAATGCGAGCTGGGCACATGCAGAGATTGGTGATGACGGCAAGGAGAGAATGAAAAAGACAAAAAAAGAAAAGGGCGGTGGTGCAATGTGCGCTGCAGAGTAGATTGATCTCTATCAGAAACCCGGGTTTAAAGCACTACGACCCCCGCTCCCTCCGCCCCGGCCGCCGGCGCCCCGCGAGCATATGGCGATGCAGCGCGTTTTCCTCGACGGAAAGGCCGGCCGACGGCCCAGCAGGCAGAGGTCGCCAAGGGGGGAGCGAGAGGCGAGGAGTTACCCCCGTCCCCCGCTGCCCCCGGAGGCAGTCTCAGACGGCTCTTCCTAAAGTTTGAAATTTGGGTTGGACCTTGTAACGAGGCCCGGTTCATCATGAGATCTGGGAGTTGGTGGTAGGGGGTGTGTGTGCGTGTTGTGGTGTGATGTACTGTGCGAGGGAGGGCCTTCTCGACGGAGTCCAAGGAAAGACCGAAGAGATGACGAGGGCCGATCGAGCTGCGGTCAAGAAAAATGGGAAACTCACCACGTGTATATTCGGCTATGGGCGTCCTCATTCCCAGGCCTTACCTCTGCCTCGATGCCGCCGCCGGACCGTAGATGGTCTTGACCGTTTTCGTCTATTGTTGGAGGAAGGAAGACAAAAGTGGTGAAAATTTGGGCAGTCGAGCGCCATGGAAAGGAGTTGGCTCAAGTGGAGCTCCAGCTCAGGCACGTGCTCGTGGTGGCTGGATGTCCCCACTGAGGCGGGGACCAAGAATGGGGTCGGAGCGATTGGCATTGCTTATCTTATGTCGAGATTGGATCATTGATGATGGTGCCATGGTCCCTAAAATTGCTAGTTATCTTTTTTTATTGTATCTATCTACTTGTTACCTAACTACGGGAACGGCTTTTGCTCTGATCTCTTGGTTTTCATTCATTTTTCTTCTTCTTTATATAAGTTTTTACTATTGCGCCTTTGACACTGAATTGCATGCTGAGCACATGAATCAACAACCCGTCCAGCTTCCCAGTCCCCCCACTGGCCCTGATTTTGCGAGAGGCCCGACCATGGCCTTTTTCTCTCACAACCTTCAGCATATTTTCCATTACCTGTCAGTTGCTCCAGAAGATGAAAGATAACAAACTGAACTCAATAAAAATCTCGCAAAATCAGCCAAACGACATGGACAAACCAAACAGAATACAGAGGAGATAATGTAGAGTGGAAAGTCTTGTGATAGAACTTGGCTCTCATTCTTCCGACTGCCCTTTTTTTTCTTGATTTGTTATCTTTCTGCTTTGCCTCTTCTGCAGAGACGCACTTGAAATCTGTCAACGTATAAGTTGGGATTGGTGGAAGTTGGTGATCATATAAGAAAAAAAAAAAAAGTCCACTCAGCTCCAAGTATCACCACCTTCAGGATCTCTGCGTCATAACTCATTGCCGAACGCTACAAAAGTGAACATTGAAGAGGAAAAAAAAAACACCGCAAAGTGAAAGGTGACACACCACTAGCACCGCCAAGGTAGCAAACACAGCCCCAGTACGCGATTTCATCCACGAATAGCCAACGACGCTCTGGGGAATGTGATACATGTCACCGACTTAGATGCAACCCCGTCACCACCAAAGGACTGCCATGTCCATTAGTTGTGTGGGTAAGATTGGTACTGGACGTTGTTACGCCAATCTTGAAGGAGATCCTGCGAGGTTGGTTGCGAATACCCGGCTGCGACACTGGGAATCTCACCAAAAAGAGGCTCGAACATAGGCTCCTTGGCGAACTGGGTGGGTGGAAACAAGCAGAAGTCAGGGCCCACGTGACCATGGGCCGAGTAGTCATCAAAGCCTTCGTCAACCTCAGCAAGTGAGCTCGGGGTGAACAGCATGGCGTTGCCCTGGCCAATGGGCGAGATGTGCGGTGCAGGTTGCGTCTTGTTGAGCTCGACCGCAGAGAATGCAGCGAACTGCTGGGCCATCTCCTTGCTGAACGGGTTTGACACGGCAATCTGGTGGACGTTGGCGTTGTAGATGTCGTCATAGTGAGTGAAATCGCCACTGAAGTCCTGGTACGAAGAGTGGTCCATTCCAGAATCGGTCGACGGCGTGGCGTTGTCGACGGGGGAGAACTCGAGAGGGTCGAGCTCCTGGGGACGCTGGTCGACGGCACCAAACTGGTCCTGCTCCATGTACCCCGGAAACTCAATTCCCTCATAGAGGCGCGCTTGAGGCGGAGTCGCCACCCCAAAGCTTTCAGGCGTAGGCATGTTGTGGACAGGGGGCGTCGCGTGAGTGACGCTTCCAGGGTGGCTCGCGTTCTTCTTGCCGTTCGTCTTGGTTCGAACGTAGGTCCACCCATGAGCCTTCTCCATGTGCTGCTTGCAGTTGCTCTCGCGCTTAGACTTGTAAGGGCAAGGCTTGTACAGACACTCATACATGGGAGGGGCCGAAGAGTGCTTGTCGCCAAAGTGTCGCTGCATCTCCTTCTCGGTGGGCCACCCGTACTCGTGGTACTTGCACGTGGGGATAGAGCACTTCCAAGGACGCGAGTGCGTCTTTTCATGCTTGGTCAGGTCGCAGGGCCGCTTGAACTCCTTGTTGCAGCCGGGCTCGCGGCACTTCTTGGGAGCATACTCCTCAGGAGGAGCATTCTTCTTGCGACGGGCCATAGACCGCATGATCTCGTCATCATCAGCAAGCTCCTGGCTGGCGGAGCGCTTAAACCTGATAGGGCTGTTGGCATCCTCCTCCAGCTCGACGGGCTCGCCGGTGGCGATGGAAATAGCTTTGCCATTCCTCACCCGCACGAGCTCGGCGGGGCGCCCGTTGACGGCAATGCCGCCATACAGCCTAACTTCATCCTTTCTGAACAGATGGTCAGCACGCTCGTGAAAATTGCAAGCAGTGGAATGCGGGGTGACTGCGTACATGTCGACGTCCATTGCGTCGGTGCTGCCCGGCTTCTTCTGGTCGGCGATTTGCTGAGCGTAGTGGCGAATCTGATCCACGAGGTCGATAAAGTAGCCGCTGTTGTAGGGCGCGTCCTTGAGGCGGCGCTGCTCAGGCTCGCTGAGAAGGGCGACGGTTGCTTGGATGCAGCGAACAGTTGAAAGGCAAAAGTCCAGGTAAAGTTTGGCAGCTTTGGTGACGCTCTTTAATAGAAGCGATGTTAGCATACGTCTTTGTTCCAGAGCAATCTCGGAGCAACTTACTTGGGCAGTCAACAGTAGCGTCTTCTCAACGTCTCGCAGGCAAACAATCTGTTTGGACGAGATCTTTCTTGGGCATTCAAGAATGACGGGGTGGAAGTCCTTAAACGAGGGCTCGGCAAGCAGAGGCTTGAGAGTGTGCTCGTAGATGCGGCTAGTCGCGCGAGCGCTCAGGCCGGGGAGGCTCTTGGAAGTGGTGGTGGACGCTGCGGACCTGGTGACGGCCGACGCCTTGACGCTGACCTTTTCGGGAACAGTGTCGGTTGCGGCGGCACGCTTCTCCTTGGTCGAGGCAATTGAGGTACCGAGGCCGCTGTCAGACTCGTGGTGGCGGTTTGAACGACGGTTGGGGCGAGGCCGCAGGACGCGGCGCTCGACCTCCATCTCTTTTCCAATGAGAGTTGGCGACAGTAGACCCCTCGGGATGGGGTAGCTGTTGTCGCGCAGAGTCTTCCTGGCCGAGTTGGTGTCCACGACCCCAGAGAGAGCTTTGTCGATGTCGCCGAGCGTCAGGGCAACACGACGACGATGAGCATCGACGACATCGTCCAGGTTTGTCTGTGATCTACGCGGCAGAGAGGGAGGGACGAAGACGGCGGACTCGGGGGTGTCGGGACTCGTGGGAGAGTGGAAGGTGGCACCTTTCCTCAGGATCATGTTGGTCTTAAGAGTGAGAGCAGAGTCCGGACGAGTCATCGGGGTCCTTCGAGGGTTAGACATGTTGGCGGTTGGAGTGCGGGGTGGGCACCAAGCAAGCCAGTCGATGTCGAGGAAAGGACTGGACGTCGTGGCAAACGGCAGGTTAGCTTCGGTCTGCATAGGACTCTTGTCCTCATAAGGCTGAGGCCCGGAGCTATGAGTCACCGACTGTGTTCGGCAGCCCCCCTGGTGCATGCAGCAAACACCAGTTCGATGCGACAAGACCGACGTGACGGCTCGATCCCTGCCGGGAGTGGCCGTCGATGGTTCTTGTATCGCGGCGAGGGCTCAAGGGGAAATGGCTCCGGTTCTTGTGAGCGGGAAGACCAAAGGAGAAGCAGTGCTGGTCTCTTACAATTGTTGGCTGTGGTCGTTGGGCACGCAGCGACGGCCTGTTCGGGGCCAAGCTCTGACTTGAGGCTTGGCGGAGGGAGGTCTGTTCCCAGGCCAGGCTCGGAGGAAGTTGATGACAAAACTGCAGAAGCACGCAAGGACCAGAAGCCGAGACGGCCGTGGATACCGTCTGCGCAATTGTGGATGACTGACGGGAACACGTGTGGGCGTTGGGCTTGGGAGAAAGACGAGATGGGGGAAAAGGCGACGAAATTGGGAGCCGTTGCGGCTTGGGCTGGCGCTCAGAGAGTTATACAAAGAGCGGGCCAGAAAGGCGGGGGACACGAGCGACGACGATACGACGGACGGGTGGGAAACACGCTAGACAGCAATTGCTCGCGGCGGGTTCTGAGGGTGGCCTCAGGAGCAGGAAAAAAAAAAAAAAGGGGGATAGGGGATGACGAAGATGAGTGAGATGGACGAGCGCGGATGGAAGACGGTGGACGGGTCGAGGTCGATTAGAAAGGCCGTTGGTGAGCGCGCCTGTCAAGATGGCTGCCTAAAATCTGGCCCGAAGCGGGCTAGCGCGAGTGCTTCGCCCCCCGGCCACCAAATCCTACTCGGCGGGCCCCCATGCAAGTTAGTACGGCCAAATGTCACCATGGCCGCAATTTGAGGCTCAACAAGCGCGAATAATACATGCCAGAGAAGCGCTTTCTGGGGCGATGCATGCAGTCCGACACGCCTGAGCCATGCTATCCATGTTATCCATGTTGTGTTGAGTTATCCTGGAACCAAAGGGCTCCTGTCGTGGCTGGGATAATCGTCCCAGAGAACAGACCTGTCGCCAACAACCCAACCGGCGACCACACCCTGGGCACCACCTGGATGGCCTCGACCCAGATGTCGAATGTTTGAGCGTTTCGAGATTTCCAAGTCCTGTCGACTCAATTTAATCGGCCCAAACAACAACATGTGCTGCGAGTCGGGTGTCCATCTTCGACGGCAAACAGATCAACCCGCGACGGGAATTGGACGAGAGCTGGCGGGAAACACGGACAAAGTCACTGCCCGCTTACCAGGCCCCATCTTTTGCTGACGGCCCACCAGCCCAAGCCCGCACTCGCTGCCCGCCTCCCACACCCCTGCATCACACGGAACCAACCAACCACGTCTCGGCACGAGGAGGCCAGAAAGAAGTGGGGTGAGTAAAGTCGGGAGCAAGAGCTGCAGGTAGGTATTCACACTCACGCTCGGCGCAGGTCATGTCTCAGTGTGATGTGAAGGCCAGAGCCGCACGCACCCTTGGAGTCCGGCTACCGTACCCGATCTCCCTGCCACTCGCGAATGCATAAATATGTTGGCGGCAGCTGCGTTGGCAGGTAAACGGGCGATTCAACACGGACCACAGAGCGTTTCGATGCCAGTATATAACGCGATTTCCATCATGGCCGTTTCCTCGGCTGGGCTTCGACACCAAGTCCGAGCTGTGCTCGCCGCTGTTGCTATTATTGTTTGGAGCGAGACAAATTAAACATTTCAAGTCGCCTGCTCAGCCTTCAGCAATCACGCCGGGTGAGTGGCTAGGGGGCCCTTTCTCATGGCCTTGTGGAGACGGTCTTGGTCCCACAAGGGGTTGCGCTCCCCGCCAATCAAAATGGACTAGCGCACTCTGCACAGCCCTCAATGGTCTGGGGAGATTGACTGTCTGTGGGCCTTTCCAGCAGCGCTTGGTAGAGTGTGAGCGGCGCGGTCCATGGAACAGACCTCTATTCCTTCCCGCCTTTGCCATCCTCGCGAGCCGTATTATCGGAGCGACAAAGGAATCGGACTAGGAAGAGCTAGGAAGAGGTGGCGCCTCATCTTCGCCACCACGCTGAGAAGCACAACTCCAGAATAGGCGAGTTTCAATTACTGTGAATCCCACAGCATAGCGCAGCCCAGCACGGCGCAACGCGCAGCAGGATGATCGACAAGATCAAGCCCACATGGTCCTGTGGGCTGGCTTGTCTTTGCCCAGCCCTGGGAAAATGTCATAGGGCTGGATGAGTAGACGGAGGAGGGAGGCGGAGGCGACTGCAACATTGCGGCCAAGGGATCTATCTGATTCGACCAAATCCGACGCGTGCTTCTCAATTGGCCCGACATCCATTTGCTGTAGAAGGCTGTGGAGTCCTGACGCAGGCCTCAACTGCAAACGATGGAAAGTCCTGGATGACAATCTCTGGCTGGACAATCACCATCATGCATCAGCCAGTCGCCCAAACCAGCCCAACCTTTGGAGCATGCCGGCCCATTCGCGAGACCCCCCCTCCCCTCCCTCTTGCCCTCCCTCCTGCAGATAGCAACTTGAAGCAGCCGACACGTAATTCACAGTCACGGACAAGTGTCCTATCATTGCTTCCGTAATCCACTGCATCACCCCCAACCCCCCGGCCAATAGGAGCCAGAAGAATCAGGGAGCCTGTCGAGAACCACCTATTCTGTCGCAGAGGAGAAAAAAAACTGCAGCCTGAAACCAGAGGCGTAGCGGCCTCCCTTCCTTACTATTCTGCCGATATGCGGTTTTGTATTGCTTTCCACCTAGGCCACCTCGCGCGACCTGCATAACATTAGAACTAGGAGGCGACATGATGAACTATTCCCTGGATGCCATCGTCACCCACCTCCACCCATTTGTTCGTGCTTGTTGCGTGGGGAAATTCGGGCATCGGGAGGTGGGCACCCTTTTTTGGTGGTGGTGTTGATGCATGTCTTAGACATGGCGGGGCGACCAAAACACGTCGACCTAAATGAGACCGCACCCATGAGCCTCCTAGGAAATATCACGTGTCTACATATCACTGTTGGTAGATTTTTGTCTATCTGCAACATGATATACTCGCAAAACTATTCCAAATCACCGTATTACAATTTGTTTGGATATCTCCCGAACATACATGGAGTGTGACAGTCTAGCTGGCCTGCTGCCATGACTGCCACCCGCCTCCGCTTCGCGCCTGTCTCTTAGGCTTCTGGTCCGGACTTGCAGCCTGGCACCTGTGGTTAGGACCGGCGGGGCCTTGCCGATTCTCGAGACTGCACACCTTGCGCTTGGAGCTGAAGAGTCCCCGGATACTTTCCAGGCGGTGTTCCTCGGTCTTCCACTCGCTGCAGCGGGTGATCTCACCACAGTTGCACATGGGGCAAACGAGTCGTCTCTGGCACATGATGGCGGTAGCTGGTTGGTATTCTGATTGATGTTTCGTTTGCGATTTCGCCGCTCTTCTTTTGTGTCGATATTGTTCGCTCATCGTTGTGTTACCCCTGTCTGCATTCTGGGTGTGCATCTTATATACAAGTAGTTCTCTCCCACTGCACATAACCATTTGCTCACAAAGATTCTCCATTCGTGAAGAGCATGATCTAGAACATCCTTACTACCTTTCATCAAGTGAAAGGGCCATTAATGGGAGCTGTTTCATTCTTTGTCCTTTGGTGCATATGACAATGGCGAGCGGGCCTTGTGCCTAACAAAGGCGTGCGAGATATAAGAAACAAAGTAGAAATTATCCACAAAAAGGCTCGCACGTCAAGGTATTCTCGCAGCTTCCAAACCCGCCGTATTTGGCCGTGCGCAGTTTAATAGGCTATATCGCAGCCATCCGCAGGAGCCAACGATATGGCATGCACCAGGCCGCACACATAGCTAGCACCCGCCCAACATCGACTACAAGCACCGCGGAGAGCGCCGAGCAAAACGACATCGGTTATGCCATATCAAAGAAATATTCAATCTTGGCAGCAGTGGTTGAAATCGGTATCTACTATAGCCGTTGGTGAGGAGCCGGCGCCTACGCAACACTTGCAGACGCCCGCGGCCCTGGGAAGACAGGAGACGCTCAACTGGATGCAGAGCCGAACCCGGGAGGAGCGGGAGTTTGCCTCGAGGCAGTTGGTGGCTCGGATCGCCGAGGCCGAAGTCCGGATACAGATAGAACGTCGGAGCGAGGCGGAATCCAGAATACACACAAGACGCCAGTGCAAGCTGACGCAGCGTCTTGAGATTCAGGTCTCTTCGGGACCGGACGGCTTCCCCCCGGTCTTACCAGAGTTCACGCCAGAGGGTGGGTTCGAAAGCCTGAGCTCCATGATCTTCAGCGACCCGATGTTTCAGGGCGCGCCGTCGAATAGCATGATGTGTGAGACCTCACCCGAGCTATCGCTAGCCTCCCCCCCGGCCGCTGACATGGAAGCCTCGTGCTCACAGAGTCTCGAGTCCCGCGAGGGAGTTCCAGACAAGCCATTGCCAGCTCCCCCGGCGGCTTCGTGTCCCCAGGGGCCCCGAAGCCGCGGCATAGCCCCCATGCTGGTCGCGATCCGTTCCCGACGGAACCGGCCTGCGGGTGCAAAACCCCCTCCTCCACGGACCTGCCGCTGCGGCGCCGAAACGAACAGGAAGCTGGCCTCCGAGCTGGCCTCGTACCTGTCCATCCCGAGCTGCACGGGGGCGGAGGACGTGCTGCTGCACGTCCTGGAGCACCCGCGGACCCAGTACAGCCTGGCGCGCCTGCAGCCGCAGGCCGCCACCAGGTTCAACTCCATAAGCTGGGCCAAGGCCCTCGGCGTCCCCGCCCGCGGCTGCCCGGAGCGGTGCCGCGGCGTGGCGCCCCGGCTGTTGCCGGGCTGGGTGCGGGCTATCTACCAGTTCCCCCATGACCACATGATGGAGGCCCGGCAGATCATCCAGCAGTGTATGAGCCTCTTCCCCACGGAGACGGACGAAAGAAGGAGTGCGAGGGTGGCGTGCAGGGTCAAGGCCTGGGAGCAGCCGTGTAGCCGCAATCATCTGGCCGGTGTGGCTGGCGTTTTTGATGCGGGAATGGCTCTTCGGATCCGCCGAGACCCAAGTCGATCCCACCGAAAGGCTGTCGCCCACGTCAAAAATTGGACGCCGCCCGGTAGGTCACCTCTCTGCACCAGTTGGGGGTACTCCTAGGGACCTATAGAGGTTGTTTTTGGTAAGCTCCAAATATCCCAGTCGTACTCGTCCGAATTTAGTTCGAAAACAAACCAATCTAATAACTACTTCAATAAAAAAAAACACATGGAACCTACTAGGCTAGGTATCTAGACATCTATAAGATTTTCCATTACGACTCTCAAGTGGGAATTTCTCGGCGGCATCGAGGCTCTTGCCGCTCGACGACGTAATGTCATCGACTTTTGTTTGGTATTCCCCGATATTTCTAGATTCCCGGAGCACAAGACAAACGAAAATACAAACAACGCAAGGTACCAAGGGCATGGATGTGCGGTTGACAGGTATACATCATATTCGACATGTGAAACACAACTCCTCTGCCGCATTATGCCTCCTCGACCCCACGGCTCATGTGCGCCTCTATTTCGCAAAGTGAAGATCGTAGCCGAGCCACTTGCGCCGCTGCACCTCCTCGACGCTAAGTCCGGGGTAGCCGTACGTTAGAGGGAGGAAGAAGTACCAGCTCGCCGCCACGATGGCCAGTATGCTCAGCGACACAACCCAGCTCGCCAGCATGCTCTGGTCGGCGAACCGCTCCCGGGCTGTGATGTGACGCTTCGAGGTCGTCGCCACCGCCACCTTCTTGCCAGATTTGCCCGCCTGCTGGTCCGCAACCACCTCGGGCGCGTCCGAGTTGCAGATGAACTCCACCAAAGCACCCGCCACCAGAGTAGAGGCCAGATGTGAGGGGAGATAGTGATGCAGGAAGAGCTGTCTGCCCATGACGTAAAATGGGATGTAGTGCGTCGCCCACGACAGGAAGAAGAATCCTGTCGAGTTGTAGAGACGCGACCGAGAGCCTGCAGTGCCATGGAAAAAAGTGCACGTGTTAAAAATGTTTCCTTTGCAATACCTATCGAGGGGGTGTTGTAACTTACGATGATCCAGGGCGTCCACGCCACGCCGCAGCGAAAACTGATCAGCGGCCACGATGCCGACATAGACGGCAAGCAGACTGCTGGCAATCCACCAGCCGATGGGATTTCCGAGGAAGTAGATCTGCCGGCGCGTGTCGTTCTGGGTCCAGAAGCTGACACCGCGCAACAGGAAGGGCCACTGGTAAGGCAGCGAGGCGTACGGGTGGCTGCTGGTGAGTTGACTGTTGTGCCAGAACATGGACCTCTGCAGCTCAAACCACTTGCGGATGAAGGGCAAAGTCTTGACCTTTCGTTCGGTCTTTTCGCGGCGCGGGCTATCGACGTCGAGCGACGGGATGTCCTCAACCAACCACACGTTGGAGCTGGGCGCGATCTGCTTGTTGCCGTTGATCTCCTGCTGCTTGTGGCCCCATTCGGGCAAGGGGGTCGTGTGGGTCCACATGGCGACCTTGCTCGGGTTGTGGATGAATTTGAAGTGCGTCGCCACGCTCTTCAGCTCCTGGCCGGCCTTCCCGCCCTCGAAGCGGACCTCAAACAGGGTATCCTGCGCACGGGTGCCGAGGGCATCCTCGAGAGACACGGTGGTAAACTCCTGGTTGGTTGGGTAGTAAGGAGACGCGACGTCGTGCGACAGGAGGACCGTGTCAGTGCCGATATGGCGAAGACGGACGAGGTCCTGGTGGCGGATCACGCGGCCCTCCTGCTTGTCGTCACTTGCGGGGAGAACCTGCCAGTAGTTGTTCGTGTCGTTGAAGGGGTAGCCAGTCACCTGCTGGCCCTGACTGGACACGCGGCCGTCGTCGTAGCGCAGCGGATACTTATCGGGATGGCTGTGGAGGTAGGTCTTGGTCTCCTTGTGTCTCACCGTGATGGTGTCGTAGTAGTTGACGGTGAGGGCGTTGGCTAGCATAACGTTATCACTCAGTGTCTCCTGGAACTCAGGGGTCATAAAGTCGTCGCCAGGACCGGACCGGGTGAGGACAGCAAAGTGCACCTGGAACCAGAACAGGTAGAAGAGGAAGGGCATGAGGATAAGACCAAAGGCGCGGGCAGCAAAGTGTTTGGCAAAGAGGGGCAGGCTCAGGGCGCCTCCTGGACGCTTGACGTCAAGGAGATCCCATAGGTCGATGATGACAGCCGAGCCGATGGAGATGAAGGCGAAGGTGCCGACATATTTGGTGGACATGTCGCAAGAGAGCGCGAAGCCAGTCAGGACCAGCCACTTCCACCACTTGCGCGAGAAGGGCTCATGGCGCAGCTTGTAGAACTTGACGTAGCAGAGCAGACTGCAAGCAAAGGCGAAGATGAGGGTCGCGTCGAGCAGAATCAGGCGGGTCTGACCAATGTGGGCGTTGTCGAGTAGGATCAAGCCGGCGGCCAGGATACAAGCGGGCAGGCTGTAGCCCGACTCCCACATGATGAGGTAGACGACCGAGACGGTAAGGGCGCCCAGGAGGGCCGGGAGCGAGCGGAAGGCAACATAGGGGACCTTGTTGACAATGTACGAATCGCCGATGTTGTCGAAATGGAAATGGCCATCGTAGCCAACCAGCCATCCGACGAAGGCGAAAAGGAGCTTGCCAAAGGGCGGGTGGACGTCGAAGAAGTAGGTCTTTTGGAGGTAGTAGGAGGCGAACTATATTCGGGGCAATGTCGGGTCGTGTCAGTCATGTCTTTGGTCGTATGTCTGCGCCAACACGCAACAGAATACAGTGAGGTCCCGGCTGGTCTCCTACCTTGCCGAAGTGAACCTCGTCGAAGACGACCTCATTGGGGTGGCTTATTCCCCAGAACCTGGTCACGAATGCGAGGGCAGTGACGATGACGAAGGTGGCCTGGTAGTCTCTCTCAGGGCCGAGGGCGGCGGCGGGAGCGTGGACCTTGGCCAGCTCGTCGAGGTCGACGGCGCCGTCCTTGGGCTTTCGGGTCGACCCAGGGACATTGCGCTGGCGCAAGCTCCCCTGGGGGGTCGCTGTCGTGGCCATGATGGAACAGGCCACTGGGGCCGGGCTCACTGCAGTTGGACAGAGCAGCAGGGACAGGAGAGAGGCTAGGGTCAGAATTGGACGGGCACTGGTGAAGGAGTGTCACACAGTCCCAGGGAGCAAGAAAGACGAGCGAGAAAAAGGGAATACAATGCTTTTGGATGAAGGCACGGATGTCCCATCCGCTGGATTGAGGTCAAGGAAAGAAAGAAGGGGAGGAGGTTGAGGAGGAGGCCCAGTCCTTGAGCAGATCGGTGCCAATCGCGTTACTTCAGCCCTGGCTGATTGCCAGTTGCCACTTGGCAGTTCTTGTCAACTCCTTTTTTTCTTCGAGGTCCTGTCAATGGTGGAGCTGGAATTGGGGTTTGTATCCAGGTACCTGGCTCTGGAGCGGGGCTTTGCTTCCGTCTGAAGTATATTGTACATGTCAGCCCGTTGACTAGGGGGCCCAAGCTCCTCCATCCAATCCAGGATGGCACAAGGGATGGGACAAAGGTCCAATTGCAAGGACCCCGCCGCCCTCCCTTCCCGGAAGCCACCCGACGGTAGTGGGACTTGGGTGCCCCGGGGGGGAACCCCTCGGCCCCTCCCTCCGCTGTTCGGAGGGACGACGGTCGAAGGTTGCGAGTTTTCCGTCGGCTGGCCGGCCGGGCTGCGCCTTTGAATGCCGGTTTCGTGTCGATCGGCAGGACGGCATTTCCATTAGCTGACAGTCTAGAACTGACGTACTGTGCCTTTGCTGCAGCCGGCCCGCATTATTATATAAGACGCTCCATCCCCAACAACGAACACGCGAAAACAACCGCAACTGATAATCAACTCATGTCGGCATTGAGACTACGTCCGCTCGTCCTGAAAGTCTCCCGAGCTGCATTCGCATCATCTCGCCCTGTTCTCTACCCTCGTAACCTCCCGGCTCTGTACAAAATGGCCAGCAACATGATTGCCGTCAACAGCAAGGATGCTGCCCCTCGTTAGTTGCCCCCTGTCGAGAGCTATTTTTGAAGCTCCGTCTTCTGTCAAAAGAAGATAGCGTATGCTAATGGTGTTGTAACAACCAGCTGCTGGCCCCTACGTAAGTATCTACAGCCAATGTTGTTGCATCGAATCCTTGGCCAAACACAATCGGCTGACCTCGCCTGTAGTCCCACGCTATCAAGACGCCCAGCGCCATCTACTGCTCGGGCTCGATCCCCGTCGACTCCCAGGGTAACTTGGTCGAGGGCACGATCCAGCAGAAGACTGAGGCCTGCATCAAGAACCTCGTCGCCGTTCTGGCTGAGGCCGGCTCGTCGCTCGAGAAGGTGGTCAAGGTCAACATCTTTCTCGCCGACATGGGAGATTTTGCCGTGAGTCACGCCTCTATGGCAGCCCCGTCTGGTATGCTGCCAGAAAACTGACATGATTGCATGTGACCATAAGAGTATGAACGAGGAGTACGCAAAGCACTTCGTGCACAAGCCGGCTCGTAGCTGCGTTGCCGTCAAGACCTTGCCCAAGAATGTCGAGGTTGAGATTGAGTGTATCGCTCTGCCATGAAGAAGCTTTGGAGCAGCGAGGAAGACTGGCTAGAATATAACCCTTAGGTTAGACACTGGCACTTAGTGGTGATGATGGTGATGATGGTGATGAGAATGGTGGGGAAACCTCAAGCTGCAAACCGAGCGGCAAGGCAGAACAGGCCGAGAGTGGAGACAATCAAAGCAAATTCATCACCAAACCAGACACGTTGAGCGTTGAGCATCCATACGTGCTCTATTGCAAGTGAAAAAAATCATGATTGGATTTTAGGTATTTTCTGACAAGTTAGTTGTTTGCTGTCCGACATTGCTTGGTCGCGCTGATGCCTCAAACCCAGCCACGCATTTCAAAGTAGAGCGAACCTGCCCAAGTATGACAACCATTTGCCACAGTCTTCAGCAGCGACAAATGATTGATCTAGCATGACGAAAGCTTGCAGAATCTCGAAATCAGCCATCAGAAAACATTAAAAAAAACACAAAAAAACGCACCAGAGCAAAAACACGTCATGGACACGAAACGCGCGGCGTCGGCGACGGCAACAGCAGCCCAAGACCCCGCGGCGGGCGACGGCGACGACGACGACTACATGAACATGGTCTTCCCCAACGCCCCCACCGCCCCGGAGACGTCGCTGCAGCGGCGGCAGCGCTTCCAGCGCGAGGCCGAGCAGCGCGGGCGCCACAAGTCAAAAGCCGAGCTGGCCGCCGAGGAGGCCGCCAAGCGCGAGGCCGCGCTGGGCACCTCGCTGCTGCGCGACCCGGCCGCCGTCAAGAAGAGCAAGGGCTTCGCCATGATGGCGAAGATGGGCTTCAAGCCCGGCGCCGCGCTCGGCCGCCCGCAGGAGCCACCGCCGCCACCGCCAACCGTGGACGCCGCTGGCAAGGAGGGTAGTGGCGTTGATGGCGATAGTAGTGCCGGGGGCAAAACTGTCGACGGCCAAGACGACGGCAACAACAACGGCGGGGTGTCACCGCCCCCGCCGCCCGCTGCCATTCTCGAGCCCGTCCGCATCTCGGTCAAGGACGGCCGCGGCGGCATCGGCCTGGCCAGCGAGCGCAAGCGCAAGATGGGCGAGGCCGCGGGCGACGGGGCCTCCGCCGCGTCGGCGGACGGGGCAAAGCGTGCCCGGCCCGACGAGGGCGAGTTCCGGGACCGCGTGCGGCGGGAGCGCGAGGTGGCGCGCAAGGAGCGGCAACTGCACGCCGCGCAAAAGGTGGCGGAGAGCATGGAAGAGGAAGGTGAGGAGGAGCAGGAGGAGGAGCAGAGGCCGCGGCGCCCGGCCGCGCGCCGCCGGCCCCTAAAGTCCATCAACGTGCTGTGGCGGGGCCTGGTGCGCGCGCGCGAGGAGGCGGAGCGCGACCGGAGGATGAGGCACGACATGCAGCAGGGCCTCTCGCGGCTGCCGACGTACGAGGACGACGACGAGGACGACGACGACAAGAGGGCGCTGGGGAAGACCTCCACGGCCTACGTCACGGCCGACGACCTCGACGAGGACGATGCGGAGCTCCAAGAGTTCAGCTCTCGGGACGTTGACGACAGGCTACAGGCCGTGGTCGGCCACCTCCGCGAGGCGCATCGTTATTGTTTCTGGTGTAAATACGCGTACCCGGACGGGCAGATGGAAGGCTGCCCTGGAAAGGCGGAGGAGGACCACGATTAAGCCGCGAAGCGAAAGTAAAGTGATCATTAATGTACATTGGGTTGCGCGAACCATCATGGGGGGATACCGTAAGTTCACATCCCTTGGCCGTCTATCAAACATTGGCCAATAGAACAGCCGTGTTACTACACTTTTCTTTAGCAGGGCCCTGCCGCGCCGCTGAGGGCATTTCCGGCACCGTCTTCTTCCTGCTCGCCCTCGTCGGGAGCCTGGGATGGAATCAGAACATCGGCCAGGCCCATCTGCAGAATGGCCTTCTGGTACATGAGCTCAAGCTCCTCGTCCGAGGTCGGCCCGATCTTCTGCAGATAATACTCCTCAACCATGCGAACTAGAATCTCGGCACCTTCTTTTTGGGATAGCTCCTTGCGCGTCGGGGCAGCGTCACTGCCGCCCTTCAGGCTGATATCGTAGGCGGCTTGGACCTGCCGGCTGGCGTCGAAAAGCTTTTTCTTGCTTTGGGCGACGTCGGGGTTCTCGACCAGCATCTCTATGCTGATGGCGTGCCCTGGTAGGCGGTCGAAGACGTCGCGCATCGCCCGTAGAGCGATGATCACTCCGACGTTGTCACCGCACTTTCGGAACGAGTGAAGCACTATGCGCATCAACGCCTGCTGCACTTCCTCCGCCTCAAACGCCCAGGAGGAGCCAACCATGTCGCGGAAAATCTCGCGGCAGATTTGCCCTTCCCCACGCATGACTTCGTCAGTCATCGACCCCCAGTGCCTCAGGTTGATCTCGAGGCTCCTGTAGAGGGCAAAGAATGTGTAGGCGTCTGGCGCCAGTGCGTGCTCTTCGGTGAGGGCTTTGTACACCTCGCGGGCCTTGAGGCCCATACCCTCCTGGTTGTAGGACTCAAGAAGCTGGTTCATCATGAAGGAATCGGTCGACATCTCGCATTTCTGGAACGCCACCCAGAGTCCCTCGAGCTTGGAGTGCAGCCCCCGCTCTTTGTAGTTCTCCGCCATCAGCGAGAAGGTCTCGAGACTGGCCTGCGGCACGAACGTCAGGCCGAGGTTGTCCGGCAGATCTTCGTTCTTGTTCGGTGTTTGCACGAGTCGGATCGGCCAGTCGACGAGTGCCTCGCGCCGGCGCAGCTCGACGAACGCCATGCGAGACCGCACCATGGCCCATGCGAGCTTATCTGCCTTTTCTAGATTCTCGGCCAAGCCCGACCGAAGCCAGGCTCCGATGAGGCCGTTCACTTGGACCTTGGCGGCCAGGATCCCCTTTGTCTGCATGAACTTCAGCACTTCTAATGCGCCGTCGAGGTTGCCTGCTCCGATCAACCTCTTGAGCCACTTGCCCATGAAGAAGTGATTGTTGACTTCGCTCGGCAGCTTCGTGGTTTTGCCGTGCAGATCGATGGCCCCTGAGAACATCATGTCGACAAAGACCTTGAATGCCAATTCGGCCTGCTTTGAGAGCAGGAAGGACGCAACGACCTCGTCGTAGTCCTCCATCTTGATGTCAGGGCCTAGAAGGTCCCGCATCAGCCGGTACGTCTCCCATGCCTTGTCCAAACGCGTCTTGTCCTGAGCACAGGCGCGGATGAAGGTCAACATGAAGCGCGGGTCCGAGGGGCGCGTTTTCTTGAGCAGCTTGTCGAGAGCGCGACCCGCACGTTCCAGATCGCCCTGAATCGAGTGCATGCGAACGCCTAGCGTGAGGTAGTCCTCTCGGAGCTCTTTCGAGTGTTTCGGCAACAAGGAGAAGCGTTTCCATGCTTCGACTGCTTCCTTTCGCGGCCCTTCGACAAAGGCGGCTTCGATGAGGAGGACCTGGCATGTGTCGTCGATGGGTATGCCAGCGGCCCGCATGTCCTTGCCGAGCTGGTAAACACGACCCATGCGGTTCGTGTTCTCCGGGCCATCCCAGGAGAGGAGGCGCCAGAGAAGCTCCCAGATCTGGCGTGGAACCCGTTCCCATGAGTTTTGGAGCAGAGGCCGCGCGAGCGCGTACAGTTTCCAGGTGTCATGGATGTTTTTCCGCCTAATCTTTCCCTGGGCAATCCTTCTCGCGGACCTCTTGAGGTGCCAGTTTAGCTGTATGATCGGTCTCGCGTGCAGCGTGTATATGCCGATAGTGTTTATCTCCTTTGTAAATGGCTTGCATTTGGCAGGCTCCTTCTGCACCTCCTCCTCTGCCTGCTTGGGCACTAACCCTAGTCTTTCGGCAAGCTCCCTCAGCCCCTTGAATGCGGACAGCTTTAGCTGTGCCTCCATCTTGTCGAGTTCGGCTTGGGCTCGGCGTTCCTCGGACTCGAGGGACTCAACAAACTCGGCATTGTCCTTAAGTGGCCGCAGGTGGCCAGGACGGTCCATTTCGAAATAGCGGAACGTGACATTGTTGCCGTCGTCTGTCTCGGGTTCGGGTATCTCTACTCGGGGAATCCGGACCTGCTGGGCCTTCCGCGCCAGTCTGGGAGGTGCCCTCGCCGGTCGAGCCTCTCGGGAATAGTAGCGAGGGACTGGGAGATTAAGGCCCGGCTTTCGGAGGGCGAGGCAGGCCCTGCAGATATACTCGGGAAGGCATCCCAAGTCTCCGGGAAGGCTTTTTGGGCGCATCGGCAAGGTGGCTACGGTGTGCGTCGCAGGCCATTCCCCATCTGCCCGTGCTGAGATTCGGTGCAGAAGCTTCTCTTAGTGCTGGCGTCGAAAGACTCATGTAGCCACTTCGTCTCCACGATGAATCTTTTTTTTCCCCCCGTCTTCCACATCCCACCACAGCTTCCTGCACAGCGGGAGCTTCCATCTATAAGTGGGTCATACTCCTTATCTGTTCCTGCGGATAAGGAAATTAACCATTTGACCCATAAAAAAGTCTTGGGTGGGGTCGCGAAAAGTTCAAGCCTCGCGCAACGGAGCCGACGACAGGTCCAGGATCGCTCAATTGCCTGTCTTGGCCGCCACGACCGAACATTTCAGCGTAAATAAGCCACTTGAACGTGTGCCCGTGTTCTTCAGACCCAACCAGGGACCGATAACAGGGAATTATCTGTTGCCTGCTGCAAGGCGGCGTGCGGGCGCGGTGATACGAGAGCGTGTGAGGGAAAGAGATCAGGGAACTTGGGGAGCCCAGCTCGGGTGGCTTTCTACGTCTCTCACGATGGCGACCACATCTTCCGCCCCCGGCTACGTCCGGTTCACGGGCCACCGAAATCTCACGCAACGACTCGTTCTGTCAACCCTTACGGGAAAGCCGGTCCACATCTCGGGAATCCGCAGCTCGTCACCGACCGCGCCCGGCCTGGCGCCCCACGAGATCTCCTTCCTGCGCCTGCTTGAGGCCGTCACCAACGGTAGCTCCATCCAGATCTCCTACACCGGAACCACCATGACCTACCACCCGGGCCTCATCACTGGCAGCGTCCCCGGCGGCGGCGCCTCGGCCCATGGCGACGTAATCGAGTACACTCTGTCCGAGACGAATCGCCGCGGCATCTCCTATTTCCTCATCCCGCTCGCCCTGCTGGCACCCTTCTCAAAGGCACACATGAACGTGCGCTTCTCCGGCCCAGGCGTCATAACAGCTGCTACGGAGCTGGGCGACATGTCGGTAGACTCGTTCCGCCTGGCGATTCTGCCTCTATACGGCCTCTTCGGCATTCCGCCAGCACGGATCGGCCTGCTGGTCAGGCAACGGTCGTGCGCCGGCTTTGGCGAGCGGCGTGGCGGCGGCGTCGTGGAGATGCGCTTTGCCAGCCAAGTTCGGCTACCGAAGACGCTGCATATGAACCGAAGCCCCGGCAGGATAAAACGCATCGGCGGCGTTGCCTACTCCACTGGCGTCTCGGCTTCTAACAACAAGAGGATGATACATGCGGCCCGGTCTGTCCTCAACGCGTTGACGGGAGAGATCAAGATTGGAGAGGCATCCCCAGGAAAGGACGATGCTAGGAACAAAATCGGCATCGGTTTCGGTCTGAGTCTCGTGGCCGAGTCCAGCGTCCCCGGAATCGTCTACTCGGCCGACGTGGTGTCGCCAGCACGCGGTGGCGCGCTGCCAGAAGACCTCGGCGTTCAGTGCGCACACCAGCTTCTCGAGGCAATCGCAAAGGGAGGCTGTGTCAGCTGGGCAGCGGCGCGGACAGTGCTCACTCTCATGGCTATGGGGTCTGAGGACGTCGGTCGCCTCAGGATCGGCAGCGACGTTATGGACGCAGAAACAATCGGCCTGGCAAGGGACCTGAGGAAGTTTGGTGCCAGCAGTTGGGGCTTTCGACCGGTTGGCGAAGACGACACAGACGACATGATGGTGACAGTAAAGGGGGCTGGCGTCGGCAATGTGGGACGCAAGATAGCTTGAGCCAACTGGAACGATACAAGAAAAATAATTATTACAAGAAAAAAAAGGGTATATGGGCAACCCGAAGCCCAATACGAGAAACCGAATGGGGGGCAGAAAGATGACGTGTGCCGCTACACCATGCCGCCTCCTTGCTGCTGTTGTTGCTGTTGCTGTTCTCTTCGTTGTGCACGGAGCCTTATCAGTCTCGACCTTGGCTCCGCGACTAGGCGAGCCAGAGTCGTAGCATATCCGATGCTCTGTAGCGACTGGGCAGTGGCGCTCTGGTAGTCATTGCTGGCTGTGCGGAGGGCATGCAGCACGTGGAAATCACCGAGTACGGCATTCCCAGAGAGCATGTACTCGCGGAGGTCTGGGGGCCGCCGGCGATGTGCCGAGACTTGGGCAGGCTGCGCGTCCCTGCGTGGCGGCAGGGGCTGAAGTTCTATGCCATCTCCTGCCCTGGATGCTCGAGGCGCAGTCCTCGAGAATGCCCTCTCCGTGGTGTCATTGTCAGCCGCCACAGGCGTGGTTGGGCTGGTGGCAGCCGCCTCGGAGTCTTCGCCATTCTGCGCAGTGGTCCCGAGGACTCGCCCGGCTGGCTTGACGACCTTGCGCAAGCGCTCCCTTTCGGCATGAACGGCCAGCATGGTACACTGCAGGGCCAGTACCAACATGTCGAGTAGTAAAAGCTTGAACTTGGAGGTCGGAGCCTTCTCGCCGACGAAGTCGATAATGACACCGCCGTGCAGGTAGCCGCGGGTGGACTCGCCGGCGGTAGGCAGCGAGGTCAGGAGGTGCAGCAGCATGCACAGGAGGTTTGGAGCCAAGACGGCCACAACGTGGGGCCGGTGTGTCGGCATCAGCAACACGAACTCGTCCGACTTTGGGCTCAGGAAGAAGGACTGGACAAGCACGCGCATGAGCAGGCGGAAGAATGAGCAGCTGCGGCGGATCAGCAAGGATGCGCAGACGGACGAGAGGGCGCCGGGCGCGGGCTTACTCCATATAGTAGAGGGCGCAGATCTCGGCGTAGACGAGAGCATCCAGGTTCGTCATGAGATGGGTCATGAATAGGAACTTGCGATACATGCCGGCCTTTCGCCTCTGGGCGGCCGACTCTGGCGGCGACGGCAAGGGCGGGTCCGAGTCCTGGGCAGGGTCTCGGTCGGTGACCAGGCCGGATGGCCCGGTGCCCTGAGAGCTCGAGCCGGCAGCGGCATCATCATGGTTCATAGCTTGTCAGGCGCTCATGCCCGGGATTCGGACTCAATGCGTTGGTGCCGTTGATAGCGCGAACATGTCCCAGCTGCGCCTTGGATGAGCCGGAGCGAGCGGGTTTGAACAGGGCAAAGAAGGGTCGGGGCTGGAGAGAGATGGGTGTACCCTCTGGGGGCTGCGGGCATATCATACGGAATTGTTAGCTTCCTGACAGACATGGTCGTCGGCTTTTCTCTTGGAGCTGCAAGAGCAACCCCACCCCAGGCGGGTGGAATTGTGGGTCACGGCGGGCAGTGAGTGGGGCGCCCCCTTTCGCCTCGAACCAGAGACAACCTAGCTCTGACACAGGCAGGCGTCTTCGCGGTCCGTCTTGCACCCCTCCTCAATGCGGTGCCCCGCCATTTGAGCGCACGATATTGTGTGACGCATGCCCGGCGCAACGACACCCGTGCCGCTTGCCCGCCGTTCCTTCTAATTCCGCCTGTGATTCATGGGACGACGAATTACAACCATTTCTTGAGCGGCTGGTGAGTCAAACACAAAAAAAAAAGGGCGAGGCAAAAAGGTCGAGGGACGACCTACTTAGAGAAAGCGCGTGCTCACTGACCTACTTCCTTATAGAAGGAACTCTTTCTCTTTCTCTCTCTTTGCCCTAACAACCCAACAAGCCACATCTCGCTAGCCCGCCATGTCGGCTTCAAATAGCCAAGGCTCCCCCTCGGGAGACCTGGCGTTGGACATCCTGACGGCCCTTTCGCAAAAGGAGCCCATCCTTACTACCGACACCTTTCCCGATACCAAGTTCGTCGAGCTCAAGAGCGCACTCGACAGGCTCAGCTCGCGGTCCATGGTGGCTTACAAAACCATTGACCGGGAAGAGTGCCTCTTGGAGCCCGAGGCCGAGAAGATCGCCGCCAGTGGCAGCCACGAGGCCCGCGTTTTCGAGGCATTGCGCGCTGCTGTCGAGGGTCTGACTGTCTCAGAGCTTGAGCAAGCAGTCGGAGACAAGGCCGTCACCAAGCTGGGCCAGGGCAAGGCCTTCAAAGAGAAGTGGATCTCCAAGTCCAAGGACGGCAAGAAGCTTATGGCTGTGGTAGGTCCTCCCGTCGGCCCAAATAGCGGTCGTGCGAGCCAACACTAACGCACCTTGTCTCTCTCCCTCGCGTAGGCCGAGTCGATCCAGGACGTTACGCGCGAGCAGCTCCTCACTATTCAGTCCTCGCGCACCCACCCTGACCCCAAAGTGCTCGCCGATCTCAAAAAGCGCAAGCTTATTAGGTCGCAAAAGGTCATCAGCTTCGAGCTGTCCAAGGGCCCCAAGTTTGCGCTAGAAATCGCAAAGGAGGAGACGGACCTCACGGCTGAAATGTTGGCCTCGGGCGCCTGGAAGACGGCCACCTTCAAGCCGTACAACTTCAACGCTCTAGGCGCCAACCAGGATGCCGGCGCCCTGCACCCCCTCAGCAAGGTCCGCACCGAGTTCCGTCAGATTTTCTTCGAAATGGGCTTCGAGGAGATGCCGACAGACCGGTACGTCGAGTCGGGCTTCTGGAACTTCGACGCCCTGTACGTGCCCCAGCAGCACCCCGCCCGCGACCTGCAGGACACCTTCTACATCTCGGACCCCAAAGCCGCCGACCCGCCACGCCCCTCGTCCAACGACGCAGCCTCGCAGGCCGGTTACGACGAGTACTGGAAGAATGTTCGGCAGGTACACGAGTCGGGCAAGTACGGATCTATAGGCTACCGGTACCCCTGGTCGCCCGACGAGTCTCTGCGGCTGGTGTTGCGAACGCACACGACGGCTATTTCGACGTCTATGCTGCACCGCCTCGCTAGCACCAAGGGCCCCGACGGACGCCCGCCGCCCGCGCGCTACTTCTCCATTGACCGCGTGTTCAGGAACGAGACTGTCGACGCTACGCATCTGGCCGAGTTCCACCAGGTAGAAGGCGTCATCGCCGACTACGGCCTGGCGCTGGGAGGCCTCATGGAGTTCATGGAGATCTTCTTCAACAAGATGGGCCTCACAGACCTGCAGTTCAAGCCCGCGTACAACCCTTACACGGAGCCCAGCATGGAGATTTTCGCATACCACCAGGGACTGGGTAAGCTAGTCGAGATTGGCAATAGCGGCATGTTCCGCCCCGAGATGCTCGAGTCCATGGGTCTCCCCAAAGACATGAGAGTCTACGGCTGGGGCCTGAGTCTGGAACGCCCAACCATGATCAAGTACGGCATCTCCAACATCAGGGAGCTGGTGGGTCACAAGGTCGACCTGAACTTCATCGCCACAAATCCGGCAGTGAGGTTAGACAAGGACTAAGCGGCCTGTCGCTAGGCCGGGACAACTTCACTTCTCTTCTTGGGCCTGTGGCATTGTAGGGCTATATATGGTGCTTATTTTCATGGAAGTGCCTTGGACAGAGTTATAAATGTTGGTTCAACAAGGCCTAGGGAGGGAAGGAGGCTAAAAATGAAGAATAAAAGTAAACAAAAACACAAAAAAAAAGATTAAACGGCACATAAAGAGAGAACTTGAAGGGATGTTGGAGTCCGTAGTCAGCTGGATACGAGCTATAGCTAAACTCTAGAATGCATTGATTGAGGACTACTTTTGCTGTTGGATATTGGCCATTTCATTGCGCTCAACCTAAAGTCGAAGATTATGGAAGATGACGACCGAGCAGAAAAGGCGTTGATCTGGGGGTTTTTACCTCCTCCGTTGGAGCCCGTTAGTATTCAGAGATACTGAACTTGTGAGATGGCGTGGTACAAGGGGGCAAGGAAGCGATGGTCCTTTACTCCTAAACTTTCGTGGTTTCCTTCCTTTTTGCCGGGTCGTATGCCGGATCCCCACGCCTCATCGCCACCAAGCCAAAAGGCAGCCAAAACGCCTGCTCAGAACTCGCGCCGCCGTTTATTGTACCGCTCTAGAGATTATTTCACACAGCCCCTGATCAACCCCGGAATCGATACCTCCTCCTTACTCTTAGCAGGCAAGCGCGTAAGCGCACCGGCATGGGGGCGTGCGGTCTGAACTGTGCTAGACGCCGTGCGCGTCGGGGCGGTCCCGATCGCCATTTGCGTTTAGCCTAACGGCAGCAAAGCGCTTAGCAAGTCGTTCATGGGAAGCATCCTTTGCGGAAGGATCACGACCAGGATGCTGGACGGAAGAGCCAGAGGCAGAGCGGGCAGAAGCAGCAGAAGCAGTAGCGGACAAGTCTTGGTCTTCATCCCGCCTGGAACGGGAGCGCTTGGGGGGTCTCTCACCAGTCGATTGCAGAATAGCCAGCAGCGTCTGCCAGCCGGTTGTGCTGCGCAATTGGAATGCATCGGCCAGGTCGCGCTGCGTGGCCACACGGCAGAGCAGGTTCTCTTCATCCTGTATGTTTGGAGATGCAATATTAGTATGTTGGTTGGTATCCTGTAGAAATCTGGCCTTTCGGGGGCCATAGGCTAGGACTTACCTTAGACAAGACTCCCATCTGGTGCAGGAAGCAGAGAAGGTGGAAGTCGGAGACCTGGAGGCCTCCTGTATCGGCTTTTTGGTGGACCTTGAGGGCTTTGGATGCCGATGAGTGCTCCTGACTCTCGCCCATGTACTCGCGATTCTCGATGGGGAAGCCCGAATCAGTGAAGATGGGCTTGGCCGCGTCCGGGAAGCCATGGGTAAGGGTGACGTATAGGTACTCGACCGGGAACGAGGGCTTTGCGTTCTCTTGCACGTTGGCGCCGTACTCGTTTATCCTGCGGTAGAAGACCTCGGGTATGTACCGGGTCCTGCTCTGGGATCCGTCGTCCTCCTCCTCTTCCCGCACCAGCATGACGTTCGGATCGGCCGACGGTTCGACAATGTCGGCCCGCACCATCTCGACCGCGTCGTTGGACACCTGGTAAGCTGAGATGGAGATCTCGCCCTGCTCGTTACCAGATATGACGCAGGTGATGAAGTTGGAGCCGAAGCGGCCCGTGTCGCTCCATTTGCTCGACTTGGGGTGTTGCGCTTGCATGCGCGCGGCGAAGCAGACCTCAAGCGACGAGAGGTAGTAAGAGTCGGCGTGCCGCTTGCAGATGACGGAGCCGTCACCAGCGCCCGCATCGACAAGGTCGGTCCAGACGGCGCCGACGGGCTCCAGGCCGCAAAATCGTGCCACCTCGTGGACGTCCTTCTCATTGTCCCAGGGGTTCAACGAGACACCGTCCGTCTCGCAGACCTGGGGTGGCTCGTAGATGGCCTCTACAACCGCCTTTATACCTAGGGGTACCACGTCGTACTCTGTATACTTGCCGTAGAGAATTCCGAAGCGCTGGCCACCCGACACACGCCATGCGTTGATAAAGGTATCCACGATGGGCGGCGAGGCGAACTCGACATGGTCGACCATGCGGAAGGTCTGGGGTTGCAGGATGATGGCGCTGGGCTGGCACTTAGTGCAGATGCCCTCGGGCCACTGCGGGTGGCCTGATGGACAGTCGCGCTTGACGCGGTAGTAGGGCTCGGCGAGGGGTGGGATGAAGGAGCTTCCTAGCTCGGGCTTGTTGGTGGCCGCGTTGATCTTGCGCAGGTGCGAGTGCATCGACAGGTACTTGATTTTCTTGTCGGCCATGTAGCTGGCGTTAAAAGGGTCGAGGGGCTGGCAGTAGTCGCACATGCCCTTGGGCCCATGGCGACACATTTTGCCGTCACGCTTGCGCGGAATCTTGCCGTCCTTCTTGTCGAGCCTGTCGTCTAATGCGGACTGCCGAACAGTCTCCCAGGGGTTCTTGATGCGCTCAGCGGTTGGCGAGGCGGGTGCGGGTAGGGGGTCTATGGGGTGGTCCTCTGTTGGGAGGACGGGCTTGCCGTTCAGGCGGTTTGTCGAAGACGCAATCTGGGCGGCGCCATCGTCGGGGCCGTTGGCGACATCTGAGCCCTGATGCTTGTAGTCTATAAAGATGAGGTCGCCGTGGCTGCACAGTAGCGGGCAAGAGGGCTGTTAGCTGGGCTTTCTTGTGGGGGTGGGGTGCTTTGAGCGCCAGCGTACCTAAGACCTATGGCTCCCACGGGGTACTGCGCAATGTCTTTGAGGAACTTCTTGTCACCCTGTGAGCCGGGCGCATTGGAGAAGGTGATGGTGGAGGGGTCGATGGTGGAGGGGAGCTTGGGGAGCAGCTGCGGAGAGGGTGGCCGGCGCGGGTTAGCTCGCTAGCCTAGGGCAGGGACAGGCGCGGCTTCCGCGCACCCACCTGTTCGCAGAGCTTGGAGAAATTGTCCTTTTTGTCGACCTCGAGGCGCAACATGCCGTCGGGCCCGCGTAGCCGCAGCAACATGGTGGGCAAGACGAGGGGGCTACCAGCAAGGTTGTTGTAGTATGCAGGGATCTCACTCGCTGCGTGACGATGAGGCTTGAGTGTTGGAGTGCTGGTGCGCAAAGCGTTCGGGCTTCGTCGTCGGTCGGCGCGGATCTTGTGGAAGAGATGGAATGCTGGTGAGCGTTGGTTGGTGTGTGGTTTGCCGGCAGAGAGTTTGGTTTGGTGTTGTGTAGTGTTGAAGCTTGAATATGCTGTCGGAGCCAGAGAGATACCTCGCAGCCTTTCAGGTACCTCCTAATTACGTCGTTGCCTCTTCTGCCTGGTAAAGCCAGAGGGACGTTGTGGCGGGGTGCCCAAGCTTCAGCCGACAGCGCCAAAGTGGGGCGGACGGGGTCAGGCCGTGCTTGGGAGAAGTGGACACATTGAGAAGCCACATCTAAGAATACCTTGCATGATACATGGCGTCGGTCCTAGTTGTCATCTTGGAATAATTTCTGTCCACATCCTCCGCAAACGTCTCGCTGCGCAAACACGACCCGACACGACACGGCCTTTACTCCTGCAGAAACAGAGAGCGTATCGACCACGAAAGAACAACCTCTGGGAAGACCACAAGAGAAAAGCGGAACGAGCGTGCCAAACGGCGTCCCGCCACCATGTTCGGCATAGACTGGCTGAGCCTAGTGCTCCCCTTCTCCTACATCCTCGTCCTCGGCGGCACCTTTGTTACCTTTTCGACCGTCTACAGGAAACGGAAGGCCAGTAAGTAGCATGTCCTGTCCCCTCAGGCTGCCGAGGTGCCACAGTTCGCTAACGCGCTCTTGTCCTTGCCTCGCTCAGCGCAAAGCGCCAATCTTGCGCCCTGGTTCCCGCCGCACCTGCAGCGCAACATCTACCTCTCCCTGCTCCACCTGGATCCCGAGGATGGGAGCGGGAAGGGCCCCAAGGTCCCCGAGAGCGTCCTGCGCGCCGCCCTGTTACGCCGCGCCGTCGAGGACATCCACCGCATCATCCAGATCCGCACTGCCAAAACCGCATGCAGCTCCCTGCTCGCCAGGGGGAGCGTCGGCGACGACCTGTGGCAGCGCTTCAGCCGCGCCGAGAAGGAGATGGAGGAGGAGCTGCGCGACGTTGTGATGGAGGTGAGTTTGTTTGGGCGCATCCTCTCGCGCGCCGGCTTCCCTTGAGCCACTCATTAAAACCGGCCGAGAAACTGACGTGTTGGTGAAACCCCTCCCCTCATCGCCAGGCCAATGCGCTCGCTCCCAACTGGGGTCAGACCATCTTCCAGTCCGCCAACGAGATCGCGGCCAACACGGTGCTGCGCAAGCGGCTCGACGAGATCCAGGCGCAGGCCGAGTCCGAGAAGGCCTGGTGGGACAAGCGCCGGGCCGCCATCCAGACCGACTTTATGAAGGAGATCGACGCTGACGACGACGCCTCGAGCGTTGCCGCCAGCGACGCCAAGGCCACGCCCTCGTCCCCGGTCGTCACCAACGCGAGCAGCACCAAGACGACCAGCAGCGAGGACGACGGGGTCCTTGTTGATGCCGCATCGCGCGCGTCCACCCCCGCCCCGCCCACCCCTTCCAAGAAGAAGAGGGGCAGGAAATGAGGGCCGAACCGCGTCGAGAGATGAGGGCGTCTTCCTTGGTTTTGTTCTTTTTTCAGCCTCGGTTGACGCACACGCACGGTTCGGACTGCGGAACCGGGAGAGGTGACGGCTTGGCGTCTCCTACGGCCAAGGTTGGTGATATTGGTTGCATGGGCAGACTGGAATCTGACGCATGGCGTTTAGGGGAAGAAACTGGCTTTTAAACGTTGTATATCACATGGCCCAATACCTTGGCTGGTACCGTGCCTGCCGCACTTTTAGAGATGGCCAGCAGGGAACACCACATCGAGCCAGAGCGGTGTAAATAAGAGTGCTTACATTTTTGTTATTATTCTTTGTCCTGGCGTCTTGCTGCTCTCAAAAACATTTCTAGCGCAGGCGATTAGATGGGGAGATTCACCGTGGTGGTGGTTTAATGGAGAGATTGATTTATTACTCAAGGATCGCATGCAATGCTGTGTTGTGTACCCCTTGTTAAAGCAATCGGGATGCGACTCTCGGTCACACCCTAGGGAAAGAACCAGGAACGAGGTTGACAAAGGAAAAAAGGAAAAGAAAAAAAACAAAGGGAAAAAAACGCCGGATGATTTTTAGTACTCGTGATGTGCCTCGAAGACCGGAACAAAGAAAAAAGCCGTTGCTTGTGGGCCGAAGACGGACACGGCCTCCGTGAACTCGACACACAAAGGGGGGACGAACGAGAGAGAGAGAGAGAGAGAGAGAGAGAGAGAGAGAGAGAGAGAGAGAGAGAGAGAGAGACGACCGA